CCAAAATTACTGTTGATCAAGGTTATTGGTGACCAAGATTACTGTTGACCAAGGTTACTGGTGACCAAGATTACTGATGATTATTGTTACTGGTGACCTAGGTTACTGATGAGTATTGTTACTGGTGACCTAGATTACTGATTATTATGGTTACTGGTGGGTTACTGATGATCAAGGTTACTGATGATTATGGTTACTGGTGGGTTACTGATGATCAAGGTTACTGATGATTATTGTTACTTGTGACCAAGATTACTGATGATTATTGTTACTGGTGACCTAGGTTACTGGTGATTATTGTTACTGGTGACCAAGGTTACTGGTGATTAATCTTACTAAGTAACTGATGATTATGGTTACTGGTGATCAAGGTTACTGATGATTATGGTTACTGGTGGGTTACTGATGATCAAGGTTACTAATGATTATTGTTACTTGTGACCAAGGTTACTGATGATTATTGTTACTGGTGACCAAGGTTACTGATGATTATGGTTACTGGTGGGTTACTGGTGATCAAGGTTACTGATGATTATTGTTACTTGTGACCAAGGTTATTGATGATTATGGTTCTGGTGATCATTATATATTATATGATATATAGCAGTTGTGTAATGTGTCTAGGTATTCAAATTGTTAGAAAGTTTGCCTTTGGTGATATAGGATGCAGGCAGACACTATATCCACTATAACATTATTCATACAAGTGAAAATAAATGAAACAAAAAACCTGTTCTTTTACCTCTGCTGAAACCACCTTTTCTACCTTACCAAAAGGCTTAACATGCCTCCATAAGTGACAATCATATGTCACCATGGTTAAAGTACCCTGCTCTGTAGATCTTCCGTAATTTATGTCATCTATAATTCATATCTTATAATCTTGATCAATAGTCATGTCAATAGACTCAATACAGTACTGTAACGTACATAACAGATGGTCGCAGTGAACTTGTTCTCGCTCCTTGACCGAACACGCTAAATTTATCTTGTTTTAAAAAATACATTTGTAAAAACCTCCATTGTCAATTAAGAGATTTTTTGATGCAATTTAAGAATTTGCACATGTGTACGTGTATTAGGCCTAGAAAGAATACTCATAATATCGGAAGGGGAATGTGTTTTAGATGTGATAACGGCAGAGACTGAGAGAGTGGGGATCTCAGATGAGTAATGAGTTGTCTAGTGTGCATGGGTTTGAAATAAGAAAATTTGCATTTTTGTGAAAATAGTAAATATATAAAGTGAAGCCTTGCTAAAGCAGAAAACATAACAATCACTTCATGTGTCGTGGCTCCTTAGTTTTCTGTTCCGTTCTTCAAAGGTTACAATGAAGTGTGTGAAATAAGAAACGTCCTCCAAACCTGCTGATGCGTTACGATGTATCGGTAGTGTTGAGAAGCTGTAACTCCATCGTCTATCACTTGGTAATGAGTTGTCCATATTTTGCAGATTGTCAGTTGCCGAACTAGAGTGTTACATGTACAAGATCTGTTGTTCCAGTCGTGACATTGTACTCTTTAATCATTAATGCATGGCCATGTAAAACACTATAACCTGTGACGTCATCACTTTATGCACATTCTTCTGGCGCCAACTCTTCAAACCTAACACCAATACTGTTCAACTACAACGCAGGGCCTACTACTTTTGGAAAATAAACACGTAATTAACGAACGTTCTCTGATATCAAATAAAAAAGAAATGTAAACTCTGTCGAAGTACCGTTTTATATTTATGATTTCGATAAGTTAAAGTCTTATGGATTTAAGTATATTACAGGGTTTGCTTATTTTTTACAAAATGTATAAAATCTGGGCCAAAATGCTTTAACGCTAACCGTCGTTAGAATGCACCCCGCGTGTTTCCTTCATACCAGTAATGGAGACCGGTGTAAGTCCGGCCACCCTGCTATGATTGGTCTTGAGCAAATAGTACAACTTTGATGATCTTCAAGTTAGCAGTTCAGTTGTCTGGGCGGAACATCCAAACGAACATAAATGGCAAGAAAAACACATTACTAAGGGCCGGAGATTCAAGTTATTTTTGGGAGAGTAGAAAGAAAATCATGACCTCACTTCACTTTTAGTAAAGCGAACTTGTTGTTCATGTCATACGTGTAACCACGGAATTAGATTATATCTAAGTCCGTTGTGTAACACACTGATAGCTTCTCATGGTGGTATACAAAAAAACTAGCATTGACTTTCGAATTGCTGTAAATTACGATAATGACTTTATTGAATTGTCGATTTGGGGTAGGTGCGGCCTAGATGCAACACAGGGAAAGTCGTGAAAGTGGCGGGAAAATCTGACGTTGACGTTTATTTTGTTTCTGAATAAATTAAAATCGATATATAGTGCTGGTGATGCTCGAAGACGGATAAATCATCGCAATATGCTAAATCAGCTAAGTGTAACAGAGGTCATTATTTTGTCAATGCCTCCGCTAGGAATGGAACCCGGGACCTCTGGCTTACTAGCCTTACGCTCTACCGAATGAGCCGCTAAGAGATATTCTCCCTAGCCGAGTCGGTAGGAAGCGGCTAGTATTTTACCAGGATGACACTCCCCCTCCAGGAAAGAACTCGTCCCCAGATTTCCAGGGGTCATAACGATTCTTGTGAAAGTATCGCTGAGTATGTTTGTCAAAGCTCCCGGGTCCCTGTAACAGAGGTAATTATTTGTTCAATGCCTCCGCTAGGAGTCGAACCCGGGACCTCTGGCTTACTAGTCTTACGCTCTACCGAATGAGCTAAAGAGAATAGGAAACGGCTAGTATGTTACCAGGGTGGCACAGCTACCTTTTAAACTGTTCTTTATAACAAACCTTTTGTGTCTCGTTTTCTTTTGACACTACACGCCAATGTCACATTTTGTATGTTATAATTTCTGAACTTTAAAACAGAGGTCGTGTTGTGCCAGCTCAATGTGTATGGACAGTATGTCGAAACGTTGACACATGTAAGCGTGTACCCTCACCCTTATCAGATAAAGCGAATTCATACAAGATACATTTGTATGTATATTCTACAACTTCCGGTATGTAAGCGAAGATTATGTGGTTACAATAAACTTCATGTGGTTACATGCATCCTCGAAATTACAGGGATTACCACTCACCCACATTCTCTGCGGCCTGAAATATGCTATTTGATTGGTTTCTGGTGAAAAAAACCTGTCCAATAGCTAGGCTGATACCTGTCCTTTCAAGGTTACCGAGGAGCGACATAGGACTTCAAAGCCGGTCAAGCTTAACGTTACGTGGCCGCGCGATTCTTTCTATGAACATCAAAGGAGCTCACTAGTCTACTAGTATCGTCCACAAGGTGGCGTTTATACGGCCTTCAATTTCGTTATGACATATTCCAGGAATGCAGTGAACATAAGTGAGAGTAACTCCTGGCGTTTCAATGATGGGTTTCGTGCAGCACGTGAGCTATGGTTGCCAGGAGCAGGGAACTTTGTCGTAGTTACTTAGAGAAATGACATGCATTTAAACGGGACAGAAAGTTGTGATAACGTAGATCTGAGAATAATGGTAAGTAAGGAACAGATTTATGGTGAACATGACATGCAATGAGATGTGGTTACACGGAGCAGAAATTTGGGGTTACGTGGAACAATTAGTTGTGGTCACATGGAGCAGAGATTTGGGGTAACGTGGAACAATTAGTTGTGGTCACATGGAGCAGAGATTTGGGGTTAAATAGAGCAATGAGTTGTAGTTACACGGATCAGAAATTTGCAGTTAGGTGGACATTGAGCTGTTATTACACGGAGCAGATATTTGGGGTTACTTGGAGCAATGAATTGTGGTTATACGGAGCAGAGATTTGGGATTACGTGGAGCAATAGGTTGTGGTTACACGGAGCATAGATTTGCAGTTACGTGGATCATTGAGCTGTTAAAATTATTATACGTTACAGAGATTTCGTGTTACTTGGAACAACGAGCTGTTGTTATACGAAGAAGAGATTTGGGGTTACGTGGAGCAATGAGTTGTGGTTACACGGAGCAGAGATTTGGGGTTACTTGAAGCAGTGAGCTGTGGTTACACGGAGCAGGGGTTTGGGGTTACGTGAAGAAATGAGTTTTGGTTACATGGAGCAATGAGCTTAGGTTATACGGAGCAGACATTTGGAGTTACGTGGAGCAATGATCTGTGGTTACACAGAGCAGAGATTTGGGGTTACGTGGAGCTGTGGTTACACGGAGCAGGGGTTTGGGGTTACGTGAAGAAATATGTTGAGGTTATATGGAGCAGAGATTTGGGGTTACGTGAAGTAATGAGTTGTGGTTATATGATGCAGAGGTTTGGGGTTACGTGAAGTAATGAATTGTGATTATATGATGCAGAGGTTTGGGGTTACGTTGAGCAATGAGTTGTGGTTATATGATGCAGAGATTTGGGGTTACGTGGAGCAATGAGCTTAGGTTATACGGAGCAGGGGTTTGGGGTTACGTGAAGTAATGAGTTGTGTTTATATGGAGCAGAGGTTTGGGGTTACGTGGAACAATGAGTTGTGGTAACACGGACCAGAGGTTTGGGGTTACGTGGAGCAATGGGTTGTAGTTATATGGAGCAGAGGTTTGGGGTTACGTGGAGCAATGAGTTGTGGTTATATGATGCAGAGGTTTGGGGTTACGTGGAGCAATGAGTTGTGGTAACACGGAGCAGAGGTTTGGGGTTACGTGGAGCAATGGGTTGTAGTTATATGGAGCATAGGTTTTGGGTGCCGTAGGGCAATGAGTTGTCGTTATGGTTGTGCTTACATAGATCAGAGAGCAGAATTGCTCTGTGTCTGTGGAGAGAATAGTAGTTAGTTATAAGTAAGACTTCATACAAATGCCTATATATCGATCATTTATATGAAAACATGTGGTTACCAGCGGCATCCAGGTATGGTTGCAAAGGCCAGGAGAAGACAGCTCAGAAACTAACATATTGGATAAACATGTCTAAATTTCACAAAAATGATAAGATAAAACTTGTTCACAAAAACTGTCTTTTTTATCATGATAACAATGAATACATTCAGACAATCATGTTGTTGTAGAACTCTACTGGAATGCTTGCGATCCTTATCAGTCACACACACACATACACTGCAACACTAGTTTTACAGCTAGGTAAGTAAGGCATCTTTTGGAAATGTACAATTTGAATTGTGATAATAATTTTTTTCATTTGCAAGAATATCTATACATACACATGTCTTTGAATGTCACACGAACAAGTAGTAAAATAAGGCACAAATTAGTCATACCATCAGGCATGTACAAGTTTTATAACCAGATACAAATAGGTCTTGCATGCATTCCTGAAAATGTCTTGCAGTCAGACACAAACAAACTTTTACACACAAATAATTCTAACAATTACATTATGTAGATACAAACACACAACCCTAACTTACAGACACAAACTTATTTAACAATCAGACACAGAAACCCACCCACAGTCATGTACAAACAAGTATCACCATCAGATGCACACTTCCTTCTGATGGTACTTTTCATGTAAACATTTTGTGAGATGTGAAGGTGCTTTTAACATATTAAAAAATACAAAACTACAAATACAGTAAGTTTATTCTTCTTTTACACAATTTAATGAGATGGTGTGATTTGTTTTGGACAATCAATAAGTAGTTATTTATATTTGTCCTTGGACAGACATATGAGGTATTATTTTGTATACACCAATATAAATCAGATACAGCGTGGAGGTGGGAGGTTACTCATTTGTATAACGCCCATGTCATATTTTATCAATTCAATTCCACATTTCCATAACAAATGGCAATATGCTTACAGCTCATTAAGAAACAATAACCAAACAAAATAAGGACAGCGTCTCAGGGAGGCTACTATATCTTTCTTTCCTGTCTAAACAAAATTAATTTTGTGTAGAAATTGTTTCATTGACTGGTTTGAATGACTGGTTTGAAAAACAGTTCAATATTTAGTCTGCATAGCTGTCAAAACCTTTTTAAAAAGATTTGCTGAAGAAAAAAATAAAAATCCTTTCCAGACTCTTTTACCTCTAATAATCTTTTTAGAAGGTTCATTAAAGGTTGTTTATTTTTATCATAGCAAAAAAAACATACATCATCATTATTTATGTGTAATTTGATCAACAACAACATCATGTACACCCAATACCCTAACACCACCATGCATATGTCGATGTGGTGCTACACCACTAACATCAGTGTGAAGACATGATTTCAAACAGAATTCATGTTATCACCTTTGTTTAGATCTTTTCAAATTATCTAAAAAGAACACTTCCTGAACATTCTTAAGAATGCCTCTGTGGTATGGTCGGTGACTTCCATGTACCTGATCAATGGCCGGAGTTTTATTACTTTTTCTGTTCAGCTTTTGTGAAGAGCTCTTGTTAGTCCGTTTAGAGATGCTTTTCTCATCCTGTAAGTTTTCTGCTGCAGGAGTTTTGTACCTTTCATTCGTTGTTTGATTTGTTAATACAAGGAATGTATGATATATAGCAAAGGATCCAATCATAGGAATGAGTACTACCAAGGCAACAACCAGGAACACCAATCGAGGGTACTGTAGGAACAGGTGCTGAAACACAGAAACAGAACATAAGTTTACTAATCTCCCTCGAAACTCCCTCATTCAAGTCCAAACTCACACAAACTCAAAATCTACATTCTGTGGACAAATGATCTCCTAGTTATTGAGGGTGTGTGTAACAATCACAAAAGGTGTGTCTGAATCAAATTAATGCTTTTTTGAGTTATTTTGATACATAAATAGGGAAAGATGAATGGCGCAAAGCAGTTTCTGTCGTGTTTCACACACTTTCTCCCTCATTGGAAATGTGTAATGAGGGAGATCTCCCTAATGAGAGGTATCAGAGAATGACACGTATGGTACTAAAGTTATTCACTTTTAGGGCTCGGTACAACAGAGTAGTCTCCCTTAGTAACCATCTCTTCAACCAATGGATATAACAGCTACACTAAGTTGATACAGCAGTCAACCATGTACTTCTTTCATCCAAAGTGGACTGGTTACCTAATAGATAACCTTGAAGGGGAGGCTGAGGGGGAGCATGTTTCTATGAACCTGACTCCCCCATTCACCCACAATACATACCTACATGAATTTTTCAAGTTCTCACTTCAAATTCTAACAATTGTTTGAACCTACCGATTTTATTGTTGACAAAAGTACCTCTCTGCTACCCCTCAAAAATAAATTATTAATAAACTGTCGTATATTTCTCCCCTCTAGCAAACTATCTGTAAGGTAACCATCAATTTGGATATCACACTTTTGTTATGCGTTGGCTGTGTTTCATATAAGTGACTAATGTATGTACATGTACTACACTTTATATATGTTTTCATCGATATAATTGTTGTAGCTCTTAATGATTCTAGTAGTCAGAAAACTATAGAAATTGTTCAATATCTGTCTTAACCTCAAATATTGTCTATCATTTTTAGCATATGCAAATGGTGAATATGAAAAGATCTTGCATTTTGATTGTGCAATCCAAGGAATCTACCTTGCTCTTTTGTCAGTTATTGCTAGGAAATGTCCTTACCTGAAAAACAACAAATACATTAACAGGCATTGTTTCTCCATCATCCATCAGGACACGGGCCTCTAGGAGTCTTGAATTACGTGTGTATAGCCACAAGCTCCACCCTCCCACAACCACACCTTCTATCGCCATGCCAACCAAAGTCAGTAGGAACAACAGGAAGTAGCGATGGTTCAGGCCTCCTACATCGTTGTTGGTCCACACACAATGGTGATCAAATCGATGTACACATCGGTTACATATATCTAGCAAATAGCCAAAATACCATGATCACCATTGTAATTTATTAGGTCGGATATAATGATACAAATAAAACAATTGTTTTTAAGTTGGAAGTAATAGTCAAAATAAGCTGTATCACATTTTACAAAAGATGATCTTGTAATAAATAAAATAAATATCTTACTACCAGTAGTTATATCTACATACAATGTACCTTAGTGAGGTGAAATTATACTTTCTCCATTGCTCTTAATTACTTAAGTCAGCTTTGTTTTAGATAAAGTACAGTATAGCTGTTTTCATTCCAACAGAAATCTAGTACTATATACACTTACTACAATGCTTTGACCTTGCTGGTTTGGGAAGGTCACAAGTTGAGCAGATCCTATTTGGTAAATATAGTCTCATGTCAAATTTGTACACCTGTGAATATAGTTCCTGTTTTGCTGGGTTGATCTCCCCAGGATCTGAGGAACAACTCTTATGGAAGAAGAACAGATTTGTGAAAACGACCACCATCGGCATGAGAGTGTGGTTCGCATTGGGGTCAGACATGTAAAGGATGGGCAGCATATCCTTCACCCACACTGCATGGCCCAGCAACACAATGGCAGCAAAAACAAACTGTAGGACCTGGTTCCTGAAACAGAACATCTTTTGAGAATGGGTTTGATTTTATAAGCCAGACAATATACAAAGTTAACATCAAAATGATGTACCTTTCAAGTAGGAGATAACACAGTCAAAAGTGTCAGAAAAATTGTCCAAGATAGAGAGCTAACAAATGCATTTTCGTTTAATTCATGATAGATAAGGGCATTGGAATACTTCAAATAAACTCATGATTACCTGGTACTTTTAAAATTAAAATAAATAAATATACAACATTTGATATAGCGACCTATCTAACTAGAACAATTAAGCCACTCTAATGCGCTTTACAGTACATAGAAATACAATTTTTATACAATCAATACAATTATAATATACATTAATCAATACAATATTGAGGAATTTGTAGGAGCTGTCTTGTCAAGCGCTAACTACCAGTCCTATGCCACCTGTCTGATATCTCCATATGTGTGTGTGCTGGAGAGGTATTGTGTTCTGTTTGAAGCGAGACCGTGCTTCCAACAGTATCATTTATAGTGCCACCTCACTTGAATGCTACAGCACAGATACCGCAACATCCACCCCACACCATTTTATACCCCACCTGGGTTGTTGGAGTTGTGTGGGCAGTAAAAAAACACTTTCTCTGAATATTTCATCCATACAACGACTTTGGGGATCAAACCCCGGCCGCCTGTGTGGAAGGCCAGAGTGTTAACCACTCGACCAATCCGCCCCTTCATTTGAAAGCATGCAGCAATATTTTGATGTGATACAGAATGGAGTAAGGGAGATAATGCCTTTTACACTTCATTTCAACATATTACATTGATAGACAAGAGGCCCATGGGCCTTAACGGTCACCTGAGTCTATAGTANCTATGTTGTTATTACCAGTAACTCAGATACTCAGTATTTTAACTATACCCATACAGGGTAACCCTGATTCCATATTGAAGATTTTAAAAATTTACTTACCTGGTATGTAGAACATTGTATAGCTTTTCATGAGCAGCATCTGTAAACCTCTGTGGTATGACAAACGTCACGATCTGGAAGTGCAGAAACATTATACATACATTCAATTAAGGAAATGAAATTAATTGAACATATCAGGCACACAACCAGTTATTGTTATGTGCAAGTTATTGTTAAAGGATTTGAAAACAATATTTATGTGGATATGTTTGGTTTCAAATTTAATCAGAAAGTTTTTAAAAATCAGTGAATAACTCGAACATGTACATATGGCAAGCCATTTTAACATTTAATACTATTTAAACTTAAGGTAAATATTTTTTCACTTAAGTAAAATTCTTTTTAAATTCTATTCCCTTTAGTGAAATTCCTTTTAAATTCTTTTCACTTAAGTGAAAAAACTCATAATGAAAATAGTTTATTTACCTCAAGGCAAAATGAATTTCACTTGAGTGAAATAAATTTGAAGTATATTTTACCTCAACTCTTTCACCCCTAGGTAACTTAAGTAGACTCTACTATATCTTTATCTGGATGAGTCCATTGTGGTCCACAGTGGTGAAAGGGTAAGATGAAATACAATGTAGTATTAAATGTTAAAACGGCTTGCCATACATGTACATATATGTATGTACATGTACATAAGTAGAATTAAACATAATGCAAATAAATGTGTATTTACCTTAATTAACCAAGATTGCATTAAGGTAATAGGATTGTGTTGCCATTTCTAAGTAGAATTTATTCAAATTTTGTAGTTATATTGCTTTAAAGTAAAGAAAATTTTCTGCCACAGAAAAAATAAAGGTTGTCAGAATTTCAAGGATTTTAAATGGAAATTTATGTAGAAAGGAGTGAATTTTGAAAAAAAATATGAAAGACACATTATTTTTACAAAATAATGTCAATAAAAATGATACGGACATATATTAGTATTGCATTAATGTATATCAATTTAATAAATGCTGAAATTGTGTAAAATTAATTCTCTATACACGATATAATAGTAATTGCAGGTAAGAGTTATCGTTCTTGAAAAACTTCACAGTAGTGAAATAGGTAGCCGGTTTCCTGAAGTACAGAAAAATGGACACATGTGACTCATTGATAAAAAACCAACCTGAATTAATGCCTGGATTGCTTTGAAATACTTTAATATTGAGAGAACACACTGTTCTGTCAATAATAAACATACAATATTTATCAGTTTAATATTAAACATAAGAATTTGCGGAAATTGTGATACTGTCTCCCTACATTGGATTTTCAACTAGGGATGTACTTCCTGTTTCCGTTTATCGATACACTCCAATGACCTTAATATAACACCTGAGCATTCTGTATGAATTAATATTCTAATCAGTTTATAAATTTCTAAAAGTATGATATATAATAACAATGATTATTAGTTAAGAAGAATTTCACTTAACTGAAGGAACATTCTGCTAAGACATAAAGCATAATCATTTACACTTAAGTTCGATTATTTTCACTTAAGTGAAATAAAACACAAATTGTTAATTTACCTTAAGGTTCAACAAGCCCCCTAAAAGATGTAATATTCACCCTAAATTTCAACCCCCTGGCAAGTCATATTCAAATATCCTGATCAAAAAAGGAATATAGATATGTAATTAAAATATATTGAACTTGTATATGTTATTTGAAGATCATTTATATATGAAGGTCATGCGGGGCTTTATTTCTCTAACTATGTGTGGAGAGGCAGACCGGTCTCTCAGGAAGATGATTGTTACTATGGGAAAGTACAAAAATCATAGTAAAACGTTGGCTTAACATATTTTACCAGTATGTATGTGTAAAACCATAGACCTTTGACCATAAACACTACTTAAACTTCATATAAGTTGTCCTTTCTTAGCATTCAATGTTGTTATAAAATAGCTAGACTTGTTATAAACATTATCATACTTTTCCGCTTCAATGTTTATAACATGTCTAGCGCATTCATATTATCACAGAATGTTATCAAATGGCACATCATCTAAAGTTCATTCATCGATCAAGGTTACTAAGCCTTTGTTTTTTATTTATAATTTGCTAGAGCGTATTACCAGGGGATTTTACTATGATTTCAGTTGTTTTGCATGGCAACATCTATCTTTATTTGAGGTCAGAATTCCTCTCAATAGCTAGTAGCAGAGAAATAAATCTCCGCATGACCTAGGTATATAAAAAAAATAAAAAAAATATGGGTCATTTCTCAGCTCTCAGTTGGGTGGCAAAAGAGATTGACATGTTATAAGTTCAGTGAGCTATTTTTAGGAAGACAACAGACTTAATGCCTTATTTTTGACAACGTTAACCTGGCTATGTATACTTTGTATAGCCAACGTACAAGTTCAATATATAAAAGTAACACATATAAGTTCCTATTTGTAATTGAGGTCTTTGAACATGACTTATCAGGGGGTTGGAAATAAGGTGACTACAGCATCTTTTAGGGGGCTTGTTGAACCTTAAGGTAAAAAGAATTTCACTAAAGTGAAATAAATTTGAAGCATATTTTACCTTAAGATGAAAGCGTACTAAATGTTAAAATGGCTTGCCATATGTACATGTACATAAAGGTGTATGTCAACATGAAAACAGCATTTAATTATAAGTGCCACTGATTATAACTGGTACATTGTGCATCGCAAATAAATATATTAATGACTTGCGTCTTATATGGGCTAGTGTTTAAATAGTATGTGCGTCTTAATAATTAAGTCCTTAAATCACACATGTACATATTATGCTTCTTTTCAAATCCAAAAACAGTAGAACAACATGTTTACCTCCATTAAAACATGGCGTAGTCTCCCAATCGCGCCATTAGCCAATGCTGGGGAATCTCCATAGACATACAGGAGTACACATACACCAAATACCGTCACATAAATAGTCATTAGCACAAGGAAATCCATAACACCAAGATCCCATGCACAGCTTCAACTTTATATTCTCAAATCTACTGAAACAAAATAATATTAACACCAAAATAACGTTGGTTTCATTTTCACATTCCTAAAATGTGTTATACCAACATGACTTGTTGTTAAAACCACACATACATTTGATATCAAGATTTATTTATGGGATGGGGTATCCTACATGTTAGTACTATTACTAATACCCGGCCTCCTCTACCCCAATATATATTAAAACAATTTCTAGTCGTCAGAAGCTACGTTATCGCAGCTATGAAATGGTACATGAATTTTATGATCATGAAAGCTGTCTACGAATACTTGTTTTTGATTGTCGATCCGTTGCATCTCCAAATTTGTTTTGTCTAAGACCGTAGAATTCATAAAAAGTATCATTATGAAGATTTTCCTAAGAGAAGTAGCATTTACAACATATCTACCTATATCTGTATCTACTTATCGAACATCGTATGCCGGTATGGTGCACTTCTACTTTCTGTTTACCCTTCAGATGTCGACTTCCGGTTTCAAACATTTACTTGATTCTGAATAAGTTGAAGTTGCGCGGGAAAATAAATGAAATCACACAATGCGCTTTAGGCCTATATAATAACAGAGACGTATATAAGAAATGTTATTTGCCAACGAAAAGTGAAAAATACAGCTTTAACCACGAACAGCTTGTATTTTGACAAACGCAAGTAATGAAAAGAATCAAAATACTTGACAAGCGTAAAAAGTAAACCGAAATGACGAGATGTAACTTCAAAAATGTTGGAACCCCGCCACTTTTAAAATTTTGGATCCAGCCACAGGGACGGGACCCGACCGGCTGATCACTGCGCTACACATTCAGATGAGTTCCAAAGCCTACTCCAACAATTTTAGATTTTAACAGGATAAACGATGATCTTTTCCGGTCGCTGTTGTCCGACTGGTACATATCCCGGCCTTTAATTAAAGATAGGAAATCCAAAATAAAAGAAGTTATTTGTGTTTGGTTGTAGTTTTGATGTGCTCACAGTGTGAGGTTAGCTTTGATTTTAAATTTCTTCTTTGTACCATTTGCTTCGATAATAGTATATAAATTTCTGTATAGATGGTTGTTTCATAGTTTTACCATTTTGTATTTGCTTTCCAATGGTACAAAAGGCATTCACACAATTTTGTGTCTGGAGTTCAATACATGTTATCTGGTATGGTGTACATGAAATACTAGTTTTAAAATGTATTATTTTCTGTAGCCTATTAAAGTTGTAAATTTATATCGGAACGGTTTTATAGGCACCTTTATCTACATGTTTTTGAACAATTTCAGTCTTTGACTTTAGTTCCAATGGTAAGTCCTAAATGGACAAATTGGCCACATTGTACTTAAATATTTACCTTGTTGGCTTTCTAGATCAATAAAACACTGGTAAAACCAGAAATTGTTTTGTAATGACTTCTATATATATTAAAAATATGACAACAGCCATAATAATTGGTCTGGTTTGAAGAAGAGAACCTACAGGTCCTGTATCAGAGTATGTATGAAAGGGTTTATTTTCATGTTTAGGAAGTTGTGTGTCATTTGTACAATTATGACTTCATTGTTTTTCATATTTACAGAATTACCCAAAAATTATACTAATATTGTAAGGTTATGGAACAGGAGGGAGAACATGCATTGCCAGACCGGGATTTGAACCTGCAGTGACCATCCAAACTCTAGACTGACATTCTACCAATTGTGCTTCCTGGTCAACGATTATCAACCTCAAGTCCAGTTCCATTCCATTCCTCCCACCTTATTCCTAGTCTTTTCCGTCGAAGACATCACTATTTACAACCCAGGTTCAGGTATACCCTTGCCAAGCATTCGCACAGTACTCAAAACAAGAGTTGGTCAAAGGCACCAATGTAATAGGAAAAGAGAAATGCACGGCCACAGGATTCGCACCCAGGACCCTCTGAACTCAAGACGGACCCTCTGCTAATTGCCAATCAACCTAGTCCAGTTTATCTTGTTTTGATCTGAATTCATATTCAATGATGATATTATCACTATTTCTAGGTTCAGGATTTGGAGTTGTTTCTTGACCCATTTTCATGAAACTAGGTACACATTATTTTTTGGAAGATGTACATGTGTATTTTCATTTTTTTCTGAAATACATTGTATTTGATGTAAGTTCAGAAAAATGTGAAAGTTGCTACACATTATCATTACCTTACTGTGTATGTGATTATGTCATTGCCGTTGACTGTTTTTGTCCATTTTATAGAGGAGTGAGGGTCATTATTAGTTTATTCTTTTGCTCATAATTACAGTCTTATTTAATGCATTTAAAATAGCTACTTGCTTTAGGACATAACAAAAAGTTTCTTAATTGCATTTTGATTTATACTGTTTGCACCAGAATTCTCACCTGTAAATGATCCTAACAGTTAGGGCTGTTTTGGTCTACCTTTACTATTGATTGCCTAATAGCCATGGTAGCCAGTGATATACTGGTGATACAAGACAGGTGCTTGTCCGTTATAGATGCCACAGGTATACAGTCCATTGATTATTTGCTGGTGTAGCTGAATTATTGATAAGGTAACGGGAGGTCTTGGCTGAGAACTGGACTGTAGCCTCAGTCATCTTAGGATACTGCGAAGTTTGTCTCTAGTCATTTATTGTTCATGGAATTAGTCTTTATTTACTTACGCTTTTCTTGAACAGTGTTTAAGAAGAAAACTGGTTAGAGGATATTAAATGCTGTATAAGGTAAGTGTCTATATTATTATATAACATTTTAATGGATATGGATTGATAGAATAATGAGTAACCAACGAGTGGGATTGTATATATTTGACGATGTGTACATTTGATGCAATATATCATAGCAGCAGCTTGCTTGGGGTAGTTGAACCCCCTCCTCTCCTTTCATTGATGTTTCGGAGATATCTTTAGTGAAAGGAGATATCATTTAGTGATAGGAGATATCATTTCTGGCCATATCATTCATCATGTTTCAAATCTTCAGCTGCTTGTGGGGTGGGGATTTCTCCCTATTCTTACTGCAGACCCCCAACCGGGCTGCAACCTTGTATTATTGAGTTTTGATCAGTACTGATACATGTATTTTCTGAGTGAAAACTGTTTCTATGTGAGTGTGCATGGTAATTGCTATAATTTATACAAATGTTTAAGTTCAATTTCACATAATTAGATATTTTGACTTTTGTTTATTTTGCACTGCAGACATATAGATCTACTGGTAAGTTGTGTTTATCTATGCAATAAATGTATATCAGGGCTATCTGTAGGGAAAATGTTCAGTATACACTAAAAATATTGGGTAGTTTTGTAAAATCTGTTTGCAGGGTAGCACTCTAGATATGAAATTGCACACCCTACGATGTCAAAGACAGGATGAGTCATATTATATATATCATAAACTTGTGCCAAAATATTTGAAAAGTAGTCTATAACTTCTGTTGATTAACTGATTAAATTTGTTTATTGAAAAAACGACCAATTAGATCAGCCAAAACGTAGTGGTCAGTCTATGTTCTGTATTACGATATGAAACATGCATTTAGTATATATATATCTATTAGAAAGAGTATGACTATAAAAATACATTCATTAGGTTACATAGTAAATGTTCTCATTTAAAACCAAAAGGCCCAGAGTCATAATATTTAGTCAAGATAGTTCCTAGAATGGAGTGCTATAAAGTTTCTTCATAAAACCCTTCTTTATAGTCACAGGGGTCAAACATCTTATAACTTATAACAACATTATCTAAGAAACATAAGGTATAGATCCATCATACTTGGGTATTATATGTTGACCAACATTGCATATCATTTTCTAACAAACTGGGTTAAAGTCAGGTCAATTAAAGGTCAATGATGGCTATATTGGTTAAAATTTAAACTTCTTCTCAAGTTCAGTAAGGCCAAGGGTTGTGATATTTAGCTAATAAGTAGTACTATAACTGGTATAGAGTGCTTTTTCAGTTTCCCCAAATAAACGACCATGATATTCTTGAATGATCACAAGGGTCCTGAGTAAGAGTATTACCATATGCATACCTGCTTGGCAATCATTCCACATAAACCTGTATGGATTATAGCTCTTTGGTCTGGCCCTGCCCTTAGGGAATAGTCCCATGGTCATAAAATGCACACAATTGAGATCCCTACCTTACAACCATATACATGTATACTTAATGGTCCATGTATTGTTATATAAAGGGGCCGCGTTGGCCAAGAGGTCAATGCATCTGATATTCTGCTACCACTAGCCCACCACTACTGGGTTGCGGGTTTGAGGCCTACGTGGGGCATGCAGTCACCAGGTACTGGCCGTAGGTCGGTGGTTTTTCCCCTGGGAACTCCAGATTTCCTCCACCACAAAAACCTGGCACGTCCTTAAAATGACTATAGCTGTTAATAGGACGTAAAACACAAACAAACCAAATTGTTGTACAAAGGGATAGAGCAGCTCCTCTGGGGCTCGGTCTAAAAGGGAGTAGTTTAAGCATTTCAGTGAATAAAGCCTGAACAATTAATCATATTTCAAACAAAAAAAGTTGTTCACCTGGGTGGTGAAAGGCAGAACCCAGAATGGAGAGATATTTGTAACAACACTTTCTATGAGAATATTTTGCCATTCTTTTATATATATAGATTCGCAACAAAGCCGCATTCATAATTGCGCCTCGATCTTGTTTTGAAAAGAAGCATGTTTCGATGTGATGTATATGCCACATAAATAAAAGTGTACCCAGGTAATCATAAAAAACAATCAAAATTGTCTGGCTTCTATCTACCATCATTGTATACAAATTTCTTGATGGTTTGTTTATCACAATTAGAAACAAATAATACCTCTGATGAACATTAACTTATTTACAGATTGACCTGGATTATCACATATTCATGGAAGAATGAAAATACTAAACATGCCATTGAGGACAGCACCAAAGTGGCCGAAACATTACGGATTTGATATAGTTGGCGATGGGCCATGTTACGTTGTCAATGTGGAGAAACGCAAGGTTGCCTATGGGGCAGGGCTGATGCCAGGAGATCAGATACTGGAGTTTGATGAACAAGATGTCACTAACTTGTCCTCGGAAGATATTAAGTCTTTAGCCAAAAACAGTAGAACACAGCCTCCAACCCTGGGTGTGGTGGCTCGCCGTCAACAGGTGGAGCTTGTGTGTAGTAGGACGGGGGGCTGTGGGTTTGAAGTGCATGGAGAGAAGCCTGTGAGAATCCAACATGTAGATCAGGCCGCACCAGCTTTTGTCGCAGGACTTAGAGAAGGTAACACTATTAACACTGAAGACAATGTATTGTATGCTGTTGTGTGGTTGTTTGTATGATATCTTCAGTGTTTAACTGTTTAAAGGAACATTTTAACATGAACATTGTATGTTTATAATGTATAGCGTCCTTCCAAAAATCCTGACAATGCATACAACAAGTCTGATCTTCAAATGCAAATTATGCCATATATTTTATTTGTCCAAAAAAAGATCTAGATATTTCCAGATTTGGTCAAACCCCATTCCAGATCACTATATTTTAGTTTGGAGTGTTAGCCATAATTGTGTTTTTTTCTGTTCTACATGTATCAAAATGCGTCCTACTGATCAAACTGAATTAATTATATGCTGTACTGTGAGGAACGATTGGCTACATGTAACATCCATGAAAATACCTTATTAATCCATGTTCCTGAAACATCATAACCTAGACATTCACTCGTCGGACCAGATTTTCACAGCAGTTATTGTCAAACGCTTATGCAAAATTGTTGGTCCAATTTCCACAAACACAAACTGTTTAATGACTCCTAAAGTGTTTGAACAGGCATTATAATCCTCTGTTAACACGCATATGTGTTACTTTTTTAAGGGCCACCTTCAAAATGTACATTATTTTAAAATATTAAAGAGTACCACTGCACCAGTCGCAAAGAAAATTTACACCTCAGAGTTATTATCCTCTTTTATGTATATAGTGTATGTCTTAAGGTAATAGGATTGTGTCACCATTTCTCAGTAGAATTTATTCAAATTTTGTAGTTATATTGCTTTGAAGTAAAGAAAATTTTCTGCCACAAAAAAAATATAGGTTGTCAGAATTTTAAGGATTTTAAATGGAAATTTATGTAAAAAGGAGGGAATTTTGAAAAAAAAATGAAAGACACATTATTTTTACAAAATAATGTCAATAAAACTGATACTGACATATATTAGTATTGCATTAATGTATATCAATTTAATAAATGCTGAAATTGTGTAAAATTTATCCTCTATACACGATATAAAAATTGACATTTTATAATAAAACCATATACACATAGTAATCGCAGGCAAGAGTTATCGTTCTTGAAAAACTTCACAGTAGTGAAATAGGTAGCCGGTTTCCTGAAGTACAGAAAAATGGACACATGTGACTCATTGATAAAAAAAAACCTGAATTAATACCTGGATTGCTTTGAAATACTTTAATATTGAGAGAACACAATGTTCTGTCAATAATAAACATACAATATTCATCAGTTTAATATTAAACATTAGAATTTGCGGAAATTGTGATACTGTCTCCCTACATCGGATTTTCAACTAGGGATGTACTTCCTGTTTCCGTTTATAAATACAATCCAATGACCTTAAATATAATATAAAATGAGGTCTAGTACGGCTAAGAGTTATTTCCTTTGAAAGGTATTCATCTTTCATTTTGATACACTCCAACAATTCCTCGATAGCAACATTGGTAAAGTGCAGGATTGGCCCCGAGTTTGACTCTAATAGTGCTAATGGTAAGGAGATATTTTAACCTGATGGTACAGTTTATCATATGACCTAACAATAAATAAAGTCATGTTTTGTTTATCCAGAGATTTGTTAATTCAGACGTTCTCTCCAGTAACCAAAGTGTCCAGATTAAGAAGGTTAACTGCATATATAATTATATTTAAGAATTGCAAAATTAGCTGAGCTTCAATCCTTGACAAGATTTTGAACTTATGCACTAGCAGGAATCCAAAGTATAGCTAAGAGGTGATGAACAATGAGATGTGATCTGTATGCTCATCTTGGTTAATTTTATTTTTGTTAGAAATGATAAAATTTGATGAGCCCCTATTTGTCCCCATCAGGTGACATTGTCCTGGAGGTGAACGGTCAGAGTGTGATGCGGACTGAAGACATGACTGATGTCCTGCAGGGAAATCTCCGCAGACTGACCATTTCTATTATCCCAGTTGGGAAACAGAAGGAGACTGGAGGCACAGTGCGCAAGGTCAAACATAAGTCACCAACAGGGGGGAGCAGGATCCAACGGGCACGGAACCTCCACAACAAGGTCAAGTTCCTTGTGTCTTACTGTCTGTATATTGGCTGTCTTGTGTATAGCTGCCAATCAAATAGGGTGCATAACACCACCCACTTGAATATTTTGTTTTTTGATCAGCACATCTAAAATCATGATCATCAGAGGTATTTGTATAAATAATGACATTTTACCAGGGGCCCCCTTTTGTTTAATACATTATTTCAACTGGCTGAGCCCAAGAAGAAAAACAGATTACATGGCCAATCTCAGGAAAATTTGGTAGTTGTAAATTGAGGAGTAAAGTTGTGTCTGGCTGAAACTAAATGGTTGACTATTGCTAGTTTGCTGGATTTCTAAATATAAATAGGTTGAATCACGTATACATTTTATACAGGTTTTATTTAGTTCACAGGAGATAGAAATTTAGCACAAAAATAATAATATTATTGCTGTCATTATCGTATTGTATGAAACTGGACACATTTTTCTGATTTTGCGGATGTCAGTTACCGAAAAAATCAGTGGAGTAATTGGCAGAGACTAATAGAATCTTTCACCTCGAAGCTACTAAGTGTAGGTTTATTTCAGAGACACATTTCATATTCAGCATATATTTCTGAAATGTTAATTAAATTTTTGAGAAGTTTGAATCTATAAAATTGAAGACTATATTTTTATAGAGGTATAATTACATATGTATGATCCCATGTGACCTTTATAATAGATCTAATTTGCATTGTCTCTGTAAAGCATGTAGACATTGTTAGCATACCTGTGATAACACAGATGTTGTGTAATAAAAGGTACACTTCATGAGGCCTATCAGGTGTGCTATCTATTATTGATGGTCAGCCTGACGGCAGGTTGATACAGCGGTTATTGATTAAACAGGTGTAGTGGAACTATCCAATGTCCGAGATTAGCAGCAATACTTCCTAAACTTTTTATGTTCATCTCCAGGTATATACATAATATTGCAAAAGCGTTTTTTGGTTGTTAAGGAAGTATTTTGAATGAAGTACATGTACTGACTTGCAGAAATTTACAATTTTAAAGGTCAGTGCATAAACATTCTTATCCAGAAACATGTATTACTGAATTGTCAACTGGTTCCCACTAAATACATTACAATGTTTTCGAAAACCGTTAGAGTCTTATTCTGATTGGCAAAATTAAAATTAAGATAGTTCAATTAATACATTAGCATTTAACATTTAAAAACAATGTTAAATGCAAACATGATGGTAAATTTTGTTTTTTAGTTTCTGCCGATAAATGGGTGCTTCGCCTTTCAACCTAAATAGCTATCTATGTGGGTCTATGCATGCATATGTCTGTATGACTTCACTAAACCAATCTTCTCAAATTCTACGATTGTCATACTATTGCCTGATCCTGTCCTTATAATTTCTACCTATTTTGTTATATCCCCCTCTGTAAGGTATAACTTGGTGTAATACCCCATAGCTATTACTGTACTGTTGTAACCTACTTATACATCCTCTATTATGTTGTCTGAATAATTCAGGCCCTTTTAGCAGTGTGTAGTGTACACTCTACACAGGCAACTAACAGCAATAAATCATCACATAATTATAATCTTTACCATGGCAGTATAGCAATTTATATCCAGTAGCTTGAGGTGTGAAGATAGTGTAGTCTATATACCTCACAAAGACCAGAGACACGCTCAGCATCCTCAGATTGGAATAAAACAACGTCATGTTTCGGGGTTGATTCAAGCCCCATAGTCAGCCATGGTCAGTGATCAATGTATGTTTTGGTGTTAATTCACGCCCCATAGTCAGCCATGGTCAGTGATCAATGTAGGTGTTGGGGTTAATTCAAGCCCCATAGTCAGCCATGGTCAGTGATCTATGTATGTTTTGGGGTTAATTCAAGCCGCATAGTCAGCCATGGTCAGTGATCAATGTATGTGTTGGGGTTAATTCAAGCCCCATAGTCAGCCATGTCAGTGATCAATGTATGTTTTGGGGTTAATTCAAGCGCCATAGTCAGCCATGGTCAGTGATCAATGTATGTTTTGGTGTTAATTCACGCCCCATAGTCAGCCATGGTCAGTGATCAATGTAGGTGTTGGGGTTAATTCAAGCCCCATAGTCAGCCATGTCAGTGATCAATGTATGTTTTGGGGTTAATTCAAGCGCCATAGTCAGCCATGGTCAGTGATCAATGTATGTGTTAGCGTTAATTCAAGCCCCATAGTCAGCCATGGTCAGTGATCTATGTATGTTTTGGGGTTAATTCAAGCCGCATAGTCAGCCATGGTCAGTGATCAATGTATGTTTTGGGGCTAATTCAGGCCCCATAGTCAGCCATGGTCAGTGATCAATGTAGGTGTTGGGGTTAATTCAAGCCCCATAGTCAGCCATGGACAGTGATCACTGTATGTTTTGGGGTTAATTCAGGCCCCATAGTCAGCCATGGTCAGTGATCAATGTATGTTTTGGGGTTAATCCAAGCCCCATAGTCCGCCATGGTCAGTGATCAATGTATGTTTTGGGGTTAATCCAAGCCCCATAGTCAGCCATGGTCAGTGATCAATGTAGGTGTTGGGGTTAATTCAAGCCCCATAGTCAGCCATGGACAGTGATCACTGTATGTTTTGGGGTTAATTCAGGCCCCATAGTCAGCCATGGTCAGTGATCAATGTATATATTGGGGTTAATTCAAGCCCCATAGTCAGTCATGGTCAGTGATCGATGTATGTTTTGGGGTTAATTCAGGCCCCATAGTCAGCCATGGTCAGTGATCAATGTATATATTGGGGTTAATTCAAGCCCCATAGTCAGTCATGGTCAGTGATCGATGTATGTTTTGGGGTTAATTCAAGCCCCGTATTCAGCCATGGTCAGTGATCAATGTATGTTTTGGGGTTAATTCAGGCCCCATAGTCAGCCATGGTCAGTGATCAATGTATATATTGGGGTTAATTCAAGCCCCATAGTCAGTCATGGTCAGTGATCGATGTATGTTTTGGGGTTAATTCAAGCCCCATAGTCAGCCATGGTCAGTGATCAATGTATGTTTTGGGAACTTGCAGATGAACGAGATTCTTGGGGATGATTATGAGAAGAAAATGGCAGTGGTTGGTGTTATGAAACAGTTTGCAGAGGACAGAGATATTGACATCCTCGCTAGAGCTTTGGCTGTCATCCTTAAAACACCACAACAACAGAGGATTGTCAGACAGATCAGGTTTGTAGATTCCTCACATGTTAAAAAGTACATTTTCCTGGGTCTGTAACCCTTAAAATTGGTCCTCAATATAACAGGTCACCAAGTTCATGTCCTTTGCTTATAATTATCATATGATGCATTTTCCTTGAAGTTCCCTCATGACTTGAGTACTAAAAGCATCAGATATCTTTTATAGGATAGATGTTTAAAGTCAGGGTAACAGGAAAAAAGTATTGCTTCATTTGTAATAACTGGATCTAGTATATTTCACTGATGATATTTATTTTCAGACAATTCATTCCTCCACGAAAGCGATACAGATTTGATGAGACAATACGACAGCAACAAAGCCTTTCTGCAAATGCCAGGCCTCACTCTGGTAAAGGTGATTCAAGAGGCCCATCCAATCACAAACATGGCATTGTTAAGTGAGTATAAATGTATCTCATTCTGGTTAAGAAATTGATAGCTTTACTTAACTCAGGTCAAGTAAGTATAAATATAACTTGTCAGAGATCTGTGACTATTACAAAGGCTTACAGCCAGTCATCTGTGAGTGTAACATTTGTCAGATGGTGCAGTGGATAGAACACTCACCTGTTACCAAGACAACTGGGATCTGATTACCCAATCAGATGGGAAAAGGTATGGGTCACTTGCCTATGTGGGCTTTCTCTGGTTTCTTCCACATTAAGACCCCTGTACGCTACCCTCTGGGCCAACAAGAATAATTTAGATAAGCTGATAGAATTTGTTTCATTATTGCTGTAAAATGAATAACATTTAATTTTATAAATAATATTTGTCAAGTAAATCCGTCACTCTATCGATATTCTTTGTTTTAGAGCTGTACAGGTGGTGAGAAATGGAGGCAACTTTGGCTTTGTGATCAAAGGCAATAATCCAGTGTTTATAGAGACAGTAGATTCTGGTGGAGCTGCAGAGAGGGCTGGGCTTCAGCCAGGAGACCTCATCATGAAGCTCAATGGCATTGATGTTAAGTAGGTTGTGTTACCCAGATAGGTATACCTGTTTGATTATAAATCTGGAAATAAACCATACTTACATGTTCAAAAATTAAGAATTGGCCTGATCTTTCCTACTGAATAAGGCGGGTTATGTTGGGCCTCCTCAAGCTTCTTCTGTGCCATTTTATTGAGGACTTTTGAGGACTAAAATGTATCTACTGACCCACATTTAACCAATGGGATCTCTATTTCATTCTTTCCTTTTTCAATATGTATTACTCTTATCATTCCTTTGTGTCAGACAATAGGCACGCACCCTTTGAGTGGCCTGTTCTTGATTACAGAAGGGTCAGACATAATGTATTCATCAATCCTATGAGTGGCCTTTGATCTTTCTTGTTAAAAGAGGTGTCTCCTTACCTGTAGCACCTCAACATGTAGTAAAATTGCTGTAAGATAAGAAATAGTGGAAAAGTATGTTAACGTGTCAGCTCGATACTTCTCTTATAGGAGGTGTGGACATTCTCACCTGGTACAGTTGTTCCAAGATAGTGGCAGTGCCCCTCTCATAGAGGTGTTACGACTTACTGAAGATACTGATGGTAAGGAAAAAAGGTTTCATTTTGGGAAAGGTTTCATATTAGCATTTGCAACATGATCTATTTAAGGGCTCTGTCATGAAATGGAACCAAAACCAACAATACATTAACCTTGTCACCCCATATTACTTTAGAAGCTTCTTCCATTCATTGATCTGGATGAGTCCATCATGGTCTACAGTGGTGAAAAGGTTAAGTAAAAGTACCTCTGAAACATTCTAAACACATTTTGTGTGTAATTCTTGTTACCCGTTATCCAGTGTAGTTCTAAAAGTTTCTTTAGGGGAGAATCTGTTGTGCAAGCTATTTCTTCCACTGTAAATTTAAATGGCACCATAGACAGGTAAGTAGTATGAGTGCAGTCTGACAATCAAGTGCAGCACAATATGTACGTTAAATAGACTGAAATTATGTTTAGGTAACTCACATCAGACAGTGTATACTGAACAATCAGTTTGTTTTCTTTATTTAACAGCCACAGCTGGTTTCTTGGGAGGAGGGACAGGTTCAGTGATTTCCATGTCAACTGTGTCAAGCCATGCCTCCTCAGCCTGGATGACCACTGATGAGACACATAATACCGACAGGGAGGGCGACACATTCAAACAGAAGGTTGGTATAGGGATGGCAACACATTCAAACAAAAGGTTGGTACAGGGATGGTAACACATTCAAACAGAAGGTTTGTAGGGAGGGTAACACATTCAAACCGAAGGTTGGTATAGGGATGGCAACACATTCAAACAGAAGGTTGGTAGGGTCGGCAACACATTCAAACAGGTTTTTAGGGAGGGTAACACATTCAAACAGAAGGTTGGTATAGGGATGGCAACACATTCAAACAGAAGGTTGGTATAGGGATGGCAACACATTCAAACAGAAGGTTGGTAGGGAGGGCAACACATTCAAACAAAGGTTGGTATAGGGATGACAACACATTCAAACAGAAGGTTGGTATAGGAATGGTAACACATTCAAACAGAAGATTGGTATAGGGATGATAACACATTCAAACAAAGGTTGGTATAGGGATGGCAACACATTCAAACAGAAGGTGGGTATAGGGATGGTAACGCATTCAAACAGAATGTTGGTATAGGGATGGTAACACATTCAAACAGGTTTTTGGGAAGGGTGACGCAGTCAAACAGGTTTTTAGGGAGGGTAACACATTCAAACAGGTTTTTAGGGAGGGTAACACAGTCAAACAGAAGGTTGGTATAGGGATGGTAACACATTCAAACAGAAGGTTGGTATGGGATGGTAACACATTCAAACAGAAGGTTGATATAGGGGTGGTAACACATTCAAACAGGTTTTTAGGGAGGGTAACACAGTCAAACAGAAGGTTGGTATAGGGAGGGTAATGCATTCAAATAAAAGGTTTGTAGGGAGGGTAACACATTCAAACAGAAGGTTTGTAGGGAGAGCAACACATTCAAACAGAAGGTTTGTAAGAATGGTAACTAACACAATCAAACTGAAGGTTTGTAGGGAGGGTAACACATTCGAACAGAAGGTTTGTAGGGAGGGTAACACATTCACCAGGTTGGTAGGGAGGGTAACACATTGAACAGGTTGGTAGCGAGGGTAACATATTCATCAATACAGGGATGATTTTTTAGAAGAACAGTGCTTTGATTGTTCAAATATATCCTTTCTTTTTTGTCTATCAGTAACCTAGTCACTTTCTGACTGGTTTTGGATACTCTATACTCTTGAATCCTTATTTATGTAGCAAGAAAGAGAGAACTGTGATTCCACCAGGGATTAAACCTGCGATCCGAAACTTTCTAGTTGGTTCTAACTCCCTGTCACCACAGGGAGGGCCATGGACACCATTTTAAAGGGAAAGAGAGTAGTGTGATTTCGCAGGGGATCAAACTTGCGATCCCAGACTTCCTAGTCGGACGCCCTACCACTGAGCTAAAGGGAAGTTCCCTCTAGCTTGAAGCTATAAGGCGACTGTAATCCTATGTACAATCAAAATCTGCCACATTTACTAAAACTGCATTGTGACTATTTTTGTCATGTTGGATTCTTAGATTAACCAACCAAAATATAGTTATTGATTCACCTTAATAGTAATACAGTGTATTAACACGATCTGTTATCACTTTTAAGGCACACTACCTGCTGACCTCCAAGGAAAGGTCAAGGATGAAGAAAGCAATGCTGGACTATGACAGGTCAAGGTTAGTTGAAACTTCAGGACATTTTCACATATTTCCAGATGATGTCATTTGAAATTTTTGAAAATATTCATATATGCATTATGAAAGTATGGCGATATAAGTTGTCGTTGAACGTCGATCGGAAGCTTGAGCTTGTAAAGACGTCTATATATCCTCTTCCGACTTGATATGTCGCTGGCAAAATAGCCTGCCATCAACGATATGATTGTTTCATCCTAAAGAATCAAGCTTTGATAAATACTAATAAGGAATTGGGTGTCATGAAAATTCAGTGATATACAAAGATCAGAATGGTTTGTTTCAGAAATATTGTGGAGTTGTTCAATGCCCTGTCCCAGGTGATGGACACACCGTCTAAGAAGGTCCTGTGGAAATTCATCCTGGCCAAGTTACCTACTGCTCACCAGGAGTTCTGTGTAACCAGAATCAACCACCCTCAGCACATCCTCATGGGTAGAACTTTTATCCTTAAACCACCCTCAGCACATCCTCATGGGTAAAACTTTTATCCTTAAACCACCCTCAGCACATCCTCATGGGTAAAACTTTTATCCTTAAACCACCCTCAGCACATCCTCATGGGGAGAACTTTTATCCTTAAACCACCCTCAGCACATCCTCATGGGTAAAACTTTTATCCTTAAACCACCCTCAGCACATCCTCATGGGTAGACCATTTATCCTTAAACCACCCTCAGCATATCCTCATGGTTAGAACATTTATCCTTAAACCACCCTCAGCACATCCTCATGGGTAAAACTTTTATCCTTAAACCACCCTCAGCACATCCTCATGGGTAAAACTTTTATCCTTAAACCACCCTCAGCACATCCTCATGGGTAGAACATTTATCCTTAAACCACCCTCAGCACATCCTCATGGATACAACTTTTATCCTTAAACCACCCTCATTACATCCTCCTTGGTTAAGTGCTTACCCACATACCGTTATCTGCACACCTTATCAGGGAAACCTTAACCCTTAGACTACCCTGTAAGCCAATCCTCCGGAGTTCTGTTCCTTTATATGATACCAACTTCAACATTTATTGGTAGGATCTTAAATTTATGCCAAATTTAACACATCCTCATGTGTGGAACCACAATCCTTAAACTACCCTAAACTCATACTAATTAGGTAGGAAAAGGTTTATCTGATATATTCCTTGTGTTCATGAATTCTTCAGAATTGAATTTTGTCACCAAGAATTCATTGTTCTGTATGCTCTGTGCTAAACCTGTTTTATACCAAATGTCTAAATATCATTGTAATTTTTTTTGACTTTCAGAAATAGTTGATTCCTCTAACCAGAACAGTCAGATGTATGATAAAAGCTATGGCAATGAAGTGCCCCCTCCCTGGGCACTAAAACGTAGGTCACCTTAAGCCAATACTTAATTTGAAGCCAACTGAGAGGTTTGAGTTGTGAAGGTTTTGCAGATTTACAGTCTTGCTTAATGAAGTGTGACTGTATATAGAGGTAGAAATTTCATCAGTTCCAACTAAATGTGTACATGTCTCTTCCCATCTGGTTAAAAGTCAGAAGTTTATACCTACTTCTCCCCATGTATAGTTCCAAGTTTGCTTGTTATTCTTCAGGTAGTTAAAGTTCCATTAAGAGTTGCTCTCTTTGCTATTTGTGAACATTCCATTAAAAGTTGCCCTCTTTGCTATTTGTGAACATTCCATTAAAAGTGTGCCCGTCTCTACCCAGATGGTACCGAGGCCTGGGGTCAGACTGGTCCACACTTGGCATCCTTCCAACAACAGGTGGAGTACCTACTTACCACTAGGGAACGCTCACAGCTGAAGAAGGCTCTCCAGATCTACGCCGAGAACAGGTCTGATAATAGAGGGGGCAGGATAACATTCATTTTATTCCATTTTATATCAAGGTCATGCCATATTTATCTTATGATACATTGTATCATGCAAAAGTCATAACTTGGAAGATAATCATGTTGTAATTTTGTGTATGGTCTAGTATTTATGTTTGCCTTGGACATAACTTGAAGAAGCTTGAATATGGGCATGAATGGTCAAGTTGAAGTTGGAATATGGGTGTAAAAGGTCAAGGTCACTTACTAAAAATATAATTTCACTGTCACACTCCTTTGCATCACTCTAGCAGTTGTATTTCTAGAAAGATTTTCACAAATATTTGTAAATATGTATATACTTTGACAAATTTTGGACAAGTTGCAGTATAGATGCAATCAGTTAAAGGTCAAGGTCACTGTTTCAAAATTTCACCATGGATCCAGCAGGAAATGGGGGTAGTGTAAGCCATATTCTCACTTCATCTAGTTGGCAAAAAGCTGTCAAAAGTTTTAAATCAATCAGATTATCAAATCCAGCCATATCCTGGAGAAGACCATAAATATACATGTTGTTAATACCAACAGGAAAGTTGAGAACCTAATTCAGGACTTAGAAGTCATTCTGGACACTCCATCAAAGCAGACACTCTGGATCTATATCATACCCCTACTGGTAGCTGAGCATCAGGAGTATGCCCGCCACCGACTCAATATACACCAAGATGTCAAAGGTAGGTACATCCATCACAGACTCAATATATTCATTGATGTCCGAGTTATGTTCACCTTCCACAGACACAAAATATACCAAATGTTAAAGGTATGTACACCTACTAATACCCCAGTAAAGACAGCAATGCTATCTGAGATAAGTTTACACCTACCAATACCCCAGTACAGACAGCAATGCCATCTGAGATAAGTTTACACCTACCAATGCCCCAGTATAGACAGCAATGCCATCTGAGATAAGTTTACAGCTACCAATATCCCAGTATAGACAGCAATGCTATCTGAGATAAGTTTACACATACCAATACCCCAGTATAGACAACAATGCTATCTCAGATAAGTTTACAACTACCAATACCCCAGTATAGACAACAATGCTTTCTGAGATAAGTTTACACCTACCAATATCACAGTATAGACAACATTGCTATCTGAGATAAGTTTATACCTACCAATATCCCAGTTTAGACAGCAATGCTATCTGAGATAAGTTTATACCTACCAATATCCCAGTTTAGACAGCAATGCTATCTGAGATAAGTTTTCACCTACCAATATCCCAGTATAGACAACATTGCTATCTGAGATAAGTTTACTCCTACCAATACCCCAGTATAGACAACAATGCTATCTGAGATAAGTTTACACCTACTTATACCCCAGTATAGACAACAATGCTATCTGAGATAAGTTTACACCTACCAATATCCCAGTATAGACAACATTGCTATCTGAGATAAGTTTACACCTACCAATACCCCAGTATAGACAACAATGCCATCTGAGATAAGTTTACACCTACCAATACCCCAGTATAGACAACAATGCTATCTGAGATAAGTTTACACCTACCAAACACCCAAATTTATCATAACCTTATGAGGACATACACTTAATACAAACTTGACATATTTCATGACCTCAAACATATGTCCTTAAATGACCATAGCTGTTAACAGGACGTAAAACACAAACAAACCAAACCAAACCTCAAAGGTACCTCTGTATAACAAAGATTTGTACATCTACCACAGACTTAACATATACCATGATGACAAAGGTATGTATGTCAAATTTTAAATCCAATAGATGGATATTTTAAGTGTTGCGCTGAAGATATAGTTTCAATGTTATGAAATATCTTTTCAAGTATTGATGAGCTGTTAAGCATATAATGATATTTGCAAAACTGTGAGATTATTTTCACTGGTACTCCATACTACCGTACACAGATATTTCTGGTTTTTAGAATGCTTCACAAATATTTAGTGTGAAGTCGAGCAATAGTTTTGTAAGACCAAAAGTATAATGTGTACATGTACTATACATTGAATGTGGTTCTGTGTATTGATATGTTTGCTCTATTTAATACATTTCAGGCCTGCCTCCTGGTAAGTGTGCATCTCTTATCCATACACAGGCTGATCAAGTGGAGCCCCAGTATAGCACTGAGGATGAATTTAGAATAGGTATCCCCTGCAGTCCCTTTCCATTCACATGTCTGTATGATCCTTTCATGACTGTCCCTCCTTCCTAGACTTAACTGTACCTTTGTAGGTAGTGTACTTTCCTCCTAGAACTTGCTGTCACCTGGTAGGTCTTCCTTCCTCTAAATATCCTGTCCCTCAGTAGTCTTCCATCCTATTTGAACGTACTGTTACTCTGTTGGGCTTCGATCTTCCCTAACCTTCCTGTCATTGGTCATTGAGTGGCTAGGTCTGTTTAACTCCACACAATACCCTCTCTCTAAGTAGTTCCTCCCTCATTCCTGAACTAAGTGTTACCTAGTTGGTCGGCTCTCCTCCATAGACCTGCTTTCATTGAGTTGGTCATCTTTTCTCACTGAACTTCCTTTCTGTCAGTACAAGTCTTTCCTGCTCCCTGCTTTACCCTCTTAATGAATGGATGCATGCCCTCCTTCCAGAACTACCTGTCACTCAGTAAGTATGCCCTCCTCCCTGAACTTCCTGCCACTCAATAGGTCTGTCCCTCCCTGAACTTCCTTTCACTCAGTATGTGTGCCTCCATCCCTGCACTTTCTGTCATCTATTAGGTCTTCGTAAACTTTCTAACTGTCACTCAGAAGGTCTGCCCTCCTCCCTGTCATTCAGTAGATCTTCTGTCCTTGATTTTCCTTTTATGCAACAACATTTTATTTCCACTAGCATAGCTGTCAACCCTCCCTAATAAAGAGGGAGACTCCCTCAAATTGACCAAAATTTACCAATCTCCCTTAAAACTCCCTCATTCAAGTCTAACTCAAACAAACTCAAAATCTACATCTTTGTTTTCAAACGATCTCCTATAGTTACTGCAAGATGTATGTAATGATCATGATAGGTGTGTCTTAATCAAATGAATGCTTTTTGAACTTATTTTGATACATAAAAAGGGAAAGATAAAGTGAGCGAAGCAGTTTCGGTCGTTTTTCACCCACTTACTCCCTCATTGGGAATGTGTAATGAGGAAGATCTCCCTCATTGGAGGTTTCGGAGGTTCAGATACCTGTGCTAGAGAGTCCCACTTGATTGATGTTCTGGTGACTCATTACAGAGTCTGCCTTCTGTCTTTCTCTTTTTTCTGAATACAAAAGATTTGTAACAAGCAAGAGTTAGGTCGATTATAATGTTCCCACCGTAATACGTGTGTACTATGTACATGCTCACTGCTAATTTTCATTTTATGTCTTTTTAGTTTGGCAAGGAAATATTTTCTGAGACATTTTCTTAAACTATACGCAAATTATCACTGACTTGAGCAAATTTTGGCTATTGCAGACCAGTGCACAAGTCTGAAGGGGACACAGCCCTGTTTTACTCTATGATGTATATCAGATTTAACATTTGCTTCTGAACATACATTTATCATTTGGACTGTTTGATGACTTTTTAGGTCACCTGAGACAAAGTCTCAAGTGACCTATTGCGATCGCCTTTNAAATAGTAATTCATACGAACATATAAATATACTTATAATGCCAGTTTTACATAAGAATATGTATAAGTTGTCAAAACAATGTCAGTATCACAGCTTTAAGTAACTTTAATGCCACTTGTAATTGCTGCTTACACCTGTATTATCACCTGCCTGTTTGTCCTCCAGTGGGTGTTGCAGCTGCTGCCCTCAGAAGAGGAAGGGAATACTTGGTATGTATAAACCATGGAGTGTCGGTGTAACTGTATAACTTAACTAGATTAGGTACTTTATAAGTTAACTAGGTAATGACTGTACAACACAACTAGGTTAGATACTGTATATTAAAGTTAACTAGGTTAGGTACTGTATAACTTAACTAGGTTAGGTACTGTATAAGTTAACTAGGTTAGGTACTGTATAACTTAACAAGGTTAGGTACTGTATAACTTAACTAGGTTAGGTACTGTATAAGTTAACTAGGTAATGACTGTACAACACAACTAGGTTAGATACTGTATAACTTAACTAGGTAAGGTACTGTATAACATAAAACATTTGCTGTGTATTTATGTTTGTGGTGACAACTGATTCAAGTACCAACGTATCAGCAGACCACACATCTTTGTATCCACAAAGAAAAATAGTCTGTAATTGTAAAACCACAAAATAAGTTTTCCAAGAATCACATTATAGACTAATTAAGTATCGTGTACATGAAATGTCAACAACTGTTTGTATAGTGATTCCTACAACAATTAATTCAGGAATATTTGAAATATGCACAATAAATACTTCAGTCTGTACGTATACATTGAGGAAAAAAACAGGTATATTTACAGATATACATACACATCTACTTTTTACTTACTATAACAAACAATTTTCTTGGCGAAGCAACAAAACCTCTGAAAGCTTTAGTCATGAGTATAAACCATCCTTGTCAACAATTTTAACGTAAGACAAAAAAATTATAATAAAATTCTTGATTCAACACTACAGAGTTCTTACTCCTCTGATGACGACATGCCTGACCGAACACAAAAGCCAGGTGTGAAGCGGGCCAGAGGTCGCCTCTGGAAAAAGATGCATCCTGGGTATGACCTCCGAGGAGGGGATGGTAGGTGTATGACAGTCTATCTCAGGATAGCAAAGTAGAATTGATATGTATGGGCAACTTAGTTCAATATTGGTGCATCAGATTAAAGGTATTTTGATGACAGGTGTCAGGAGAGCGGGACAAACTGATCAGAGTAAGAAACAACTAACCATTGGTACAACTTTTTAATGTTCACATATATTTACGAGGACAGTAAAATATCAACGTAAATATCTTAAAGAAATTTTATTAGGCAGTAAAACAAATGATGTATTTGTGGTGGAGGTGGCCATATGGGTTTGTTGGTTAGAGCATCCTCTGGAATTAGGAGGTCCAAGGTTTAAATCCCTGTCTGGCTGTGGTATTGATCTCCCTAGTTGTATAATTTAGACTTTAGGTAATTGACAGTGGATTAAAAATGTTTGTAGCTAATTTAGATGACACTATAAAATCATAGTTATAACATATATCAATAATTTTATAACCTTTATCAGGTACAAAGAGCATAGACATGGCTCTTATGAAGGAACTGGAAGAAACACGGCGAGCTGTAGAGGAGGCAAAGAAAATATTCCAGGCAGGACACAAAATGGATGCAGATTTAACAGGTTTATTGAACAAATCAATCTTATGAACACTGAGTCCAGCCTTGTTGACCAACCAGTGTTTTCGGGAACAGATCTCCATTGGCTTACTGTCCCAGTAACTTATCCAATGTTTTGAAATTCCAACCTTCTAAGCTTGAAAAGAAATTGGTGGCAAGATTAAGGAGCAGTTTTGACTGTACTATGTGATTATGGAATGCTTTTGATTCCCAATCTACATTATACATCGTTATTATACATTCATACCTAAAAAGGATCCAGTAGTAGCTTTATCTCTCCTCAGGTTCCATCAAAAGTTTGAATTCATTGTTTCAGTATTTACCTATAATAATTGTTTCTTTTCCAGACTCTGACGATGACACAGGTCTGAAATCTAAGAAGTATGTAACCGTAATACCGATCAGTTGCGCTGAATATACAGGAAAAGTCATGTCAGATGAAAAATCTAGACAAGGAAAGTCATACCAAAGGAAGAGAAATGGAGTATCACCTGTTCCCAGTGATAACAAAAATGGAACGCAATTTCCGCCGGAGATTGTGTTCAGTTCCACTTGTTCAGACAGTGACAATGATGTTGAAACTGATGTTGAAATAGACAGGTCCAGATTCTCCATAAAATCTGGAGATTCATTTAACCGCCGTGCTATGACTGCATTGAAGGAGCTTGATGCTGCCATGGCTGCAGAAGTGTCTGACCTTGATGCCAGCAGTACCATTGGCCAGGATTTCCTCAAGGTCACTGGTGGATCCTCATTATTGTATCAACATGGGAAGCCAGCGTCCAAAAGCCTACCTCCACCTCCTCCAGGTAAGGACAAGAATAGACCGACCGTTTTTCAATGCGTGGTGCCTCGTCCTCATCCTCCAAAGTAAGACACAGAGACTGTCTTTCCCAAATCAAATTAAGCTAGCTAGAGAATAGAACACTGTCAAAGAGTCCATGCCTGGTACATTGTATAACAGGTACCCTCTCTCTTGCATCTATATATGACCAGTAATAGACTGTTTCTGTGTCAAAGCCTGGTTTGAAAGATGACCACTAGTAGTATAGACTGCCTCTGTAACAAAAGCCTTATCCCAAACCTTCAAGTAAGATAATAAGCTATAAAGTATGATAAACCAATCTTCAGAGACCCAGATAATCCTCATGTATATATATGAACTAAATGTTTGTTCACTGCTACATTTATCACTTGACGTATTGAAACAATTGTGTGAGTCATCTGTCCATAAACAATCTACATTTACAGCTTCTCAAAACCACTGAAACGTTTTCAATATAATTTGCAAGAAGCTTCCACAGCAAAAAATAAAATTGCTTTGTCACAATACAACAACTATTAACAGTGTATTACACCTTGTTTTGACTGTAAAAGCCCATTGCCTCTTGTTTATGTATCTGTATGGCAGGACATTTTTGCCAATATAAACGACATTTAGCTACTTATAGAAATATAATCAAACAAATCAAACCCTACTAAAGAACTATAGATAAAACATTTACAAACTGCTATTAATTTCAGTGGCACCCCCTCCTCCCCCTCTACCACCACCACCACCCCCACCCCCAGGGGTACAGAACGGCACCCCAAGTCACCAGTCTGCAGCTGGTGGCAAAATGAATGTCAAGAGGATCAACTGGGACAAGCTAGACCAGACTAAAGTGGAGAACACAATATGGGAACAGGTGGGTGTTAGATAGGTATACTAGCATGCATTATTACTATTGATAAGGGAAAAAGTGGTTGTCTGTGGTAACTCAACATGAATTACAATAGGTAACATGTATCCCATCATGCATTACTACTGGTGAAGGATGTGTCAGCCCATCTCTGCCTCCAGAAGATTTCAATTCTGATATAAAATGTAACGTTATAAACTCCCCACAAACAATCACTGACTGATAAGGAAGGAGACATCTAGTCTGACATCTTATCCTTTGTCTTGTATAATGTATATGAAAAGGAAAGGTGTAAGGTAATCATATCAAGAAATACTCATTTTGACAAAGAATTTTGAACAATTCATACTAGTGTGTACGTAGTGTGTGCAGACAGATAGGACTACATCCAGAAATTAAAGTTTTTCCCTAATTTGTAAAGTTTGTAAAATATCTCCTATCATTTTACATTTATTTCAGTTGGGAGAAAATGATTTGGAGGATGTTGTCAAATACCTGGAATTGGAACAGCATTTCAGCACTGGAGCTACCAAACAGAGTGGGTGAAATCATTATCTGGGACTACCAAACAGAGTGGGTGATATCTATATCTGGGGCTACCAAACAGGGTGGGTGATATCAATATCTGGATCTACCAAACAGAGTGGGTGATAGCACTGGAGCTACCAAACAGAGTGGGTGAAATCATTATCTGGGACTACCAAACAGAGTGGGTGATATCTATATCTTGGGCTACCAAACAGAGAGAGTGATATCAATATCTGGATCTACCAAACAGAGTGGGTGATAGCACTGGAGCTACCAAACAGAGTGGGTGAAATCATTATCTGGGACTACCAAACAGAGTGGGTGATATCTATATCTGAGGCTACCAAACAGAGTGGGTGATATCAATATCCCGAGCTACCAAACAGAGTGGGTGATATCTATATCTTGGGCTACCAAACAGAGTGAGTGATATCAATATCACAGGCCACCAAACAGAGTAGGTGATATCTAAGTGGGTGATATCTATATCTGGGGCTACCAAACAAAGTGGGTGATATCTATATCTGGGGCTACCAAACAAAGTGGGTGATATCTATATCTGGGGCTACCAAACAAAGTGGGTGATATCTATATCTGGGGCTACCAAACAAAGTGGGTGATATCTATATCTGGGGCTACCAAACAGAGCGGGTGATATCTATATCTGGGGCTACCAAACAAAGTGGGTGATATCTATATCTGGGGCTACCAAACAAAGTGGGTGATATCTATATCTGGGGCTACCAAACAAAGTGGGTGATATCTATATCTGGGGCTACCAAACAGGGTGGGTGATATCAATATCTGGATCTACCAAACAGAGTAGGTGATATCATTATCTGGATCTACCAAACAGAGTGGGTGATAGCACTGGAGCTACCAAACAGAGTGGGTGAAATCATTATCTGGGACTACCAAACAGAGTGGGTGATATCTATATCTTGGGCTACCAAACAGAGAGAGTGATATCAATATCACAGGCCACCAAACAGAGTAGGTGATATCTAAGTGGGTGATATCTATATCTGGGGCTACCAAACAGAGGGGGGGATATCATTATCTGCGGCCACCAAACAGAGGGGGTGATATCTATATCTGGGGCTACCAAACAGAATGGGTGATATCTATATCTGGGGCTACCAAACAGGGTGGGTGATATCAATATCTGGATCTACCAAACAGAGTGGGTGATAGCACTGGAGCTACCAAACAGAGTGGGTGAAATCATTATCTGGGACTACCAAACAGAGTGGGTGATATCTATATCTTGGGCTACCAAACAGAGAGAGTGATATCAATATCAAAGGCCACCAAACAGAGTAGGTGATATCTATATCTGGGGCTACCAAACAGAATGGGTGATATCTATATCTGGGGCTACCAAACAAAGTGGGTGATATCTATATCTGGGGCTACCAAACAAAGTGGGTGATATCTATATCTGGGGCTACCAAACAAAGTGGGTGATATCTATATCTGGGGCTACCAAACAAAGTGGGTGATATCTATATCTGGGGCTACCAAACAAAGTGGGTGATATCTATATCTGGGGCTACCAAACAGAATGGGTGATATCTATATCTGGGGCTACCAAACAGGGTGGGTGATATCAATATCTGGATCTACCAAACAGAGTGGGTGATAGCACTGGAGCTACCAAACAGAGTGGGTGAAATCATTATCTGGGACTACCAAACAGAGTGGGTGATATCTATATCTGCGGCCACCAAACAGAGTGGATGATATCAATATGGAGGGCTACCAAACAGAATGGGTGATATCTATATCTGGGGCTACCAAACAGGGTGGGTGATATCAATATCTGGATCTACCAAACAGAGTAGGTGATATCATTATCTGGATCTACCAAACAGAGTGGGTGATATTATTATCTGGATCTACCAAACAGAGTGGGTGATATTATTATCTGGATCTACCAAACAGAGTGGGTGATATCTATATCTGGGGCTACCAAACAGAGTGGGTGATATCAATATCGCTGGCCACCAAACAGAGTGGGTGATATCTATATCTGGGGCTACCAAACAGAGTGGGTGATATCAATATCTGGATCTACCAAACAGAGTGGGTGATATCATTATCTGGATCTACCAAACAGAGTGGGTGATATCAATATCACAGGCCACCAAACAGAGTAGGTGATATCTAAGTGGGTAATATCTATATCTGGAGCTACCAAACAGAGTGGGTGATATCTATACCTGGGGCTACCAAACAGAGTTGGTGATATCTATACCTGGGGCTACCAAACAGAGTTGGTGATATCTATATCTTGAGCTACTAAACAGAGTGGGTGATATCTATATCTGGGGCTACCAATCAGAGTTGGTGATATCTATATCTTGAGCTACTAATCAGAGTGGGTGATATCAATATCTGGGGCTACCAAACAGAGTGGGTGATATCATTATCTGGATCTACCAAACAGAGTGGGTGATATCAATATCTGTGGCTACCAAACAGAGTGGGTGATATCTATATCTGAGGCTACCAAACAGAGTTGGTGATATCAATATCTTGAGCTACCAAACAGAGTGGGTGATATCTATATCTGAGGCTACCAAACAGAGTTGGTGATATCAATATCTTGAGCTACCAAACAGAGTGGGTGATATCTATATCTGGAGCTACCAAACAGAGTGGGTGATATCTATACCTGGGGCCACCATTATCTGCGGCCACCAAACAGAGTGGGTGGTATAAATATGGAGGGCTACCAAACAGAGTGGGTGATATCGATATCTGGGGCTACCAAACAGAGTGGGTGATATCAATATCTGGATCTACCAAACAGAGTGGGTGATATCAATATCTTGAGCTACCAAACAGAGTGGGTGATATCTATACCTGGGGCTACCAAACAGAGTTGGTGATATCTATACCTGGGGCTACCAAACAGAGCTGGTGATATCTATATCTGGGGCTACCAAACAGAGCGGGTGATATCTATATCTGGGGCTACCAAACAGGGTGGGTGATATCAATATCTGGATCTACCAAACAGAGTGGGTGATATCATTATCTGGAGCTACCAAACAGAGAGTGTTATATCTATATCTGGGGCTACCAAACAGAGGGGGTGATATCATTATCTGCGGCCACCAAACAGAGTGGGTGGTATAAATATGGAGGGCTACCAAACAGAGTGGGTGATATCGATATCTGGGGCTACCAAACAGAGTGGGTGATATCTATACCTGGGGCCACCAAACAGAGTGGGTGATAACAATGTCTGGGGCTACCAAACAGAGTGGGTGATATCATTATCTGCGGCCACCAAACAGAGTGGGTGATATCTATATCTGGAGCTACCAAACAGAGTGGGTGATATCTATATCTGGGGCTACCAAACAGAGTTGGTGATATCAATATCTTGAGCTACCAAACAGAGTGGGTGATATCTATACCTGGGGCTACCAAACAGAGTTGGTGATATCTATATCTTGAGCTACTAAACAGAGTGGGTGATATCTATACCTGGGGCCACCAAACAGAGTGGGTGATAACAATATCTGGGGCTACCAAACAGAGTGGGTGATATCTATATCTGGGGATACCAAACAGAGAGGGTGATATCAATATCTGGGGCTTCCAAACAGAGTGGGTGATATCTATATCTGGGGCTACCAAACAGAGTGGGTGATATCTATATCTGGGGCTACCAAACAGAGTGGGTGATATCTATATTTGGGGCTACCAAACAGAGTGGGTGATATCGATATCGGAAAGAATTAAGTTTAAAGTCAAACATACAAGATCAGCAAAATTATGCTTTTGGACTTATTATCAAATTATAGATGGTACATGACCAGCCCTTATAGATTACTTCACTAATTAACTTTATTGGTTTTACTTTTTGACAGAAATATCTGAGAAGCGACAGGAAGTGTTCGTCCTCAATGCGAAGAAAGCCTACAATATCTGTAAGTTACATATGTTATGCTTGTTTAGGAGTTATTTTAGTGAAATATAGAAGTAAGGGTTAATTGATGTAAGTTAAGTGAAAGTTAATTGATTTAAGTTAGATGAAAGTTGATGTCTACTGCCAATGGTTTCAGAAGCATCAAATTCAATAAACATTTCCCATATTTAATATACTTCAAACGCCACCTAGGGTTCCTATAAATCCCTGAATAATAATCATAGGTGGAAACAGTTTGTTTGAAGTGGTTGCTTGAAGTCGGGGACGGATTGGGGATGAGGGGGTTTTTAAGACATGATAATAAACCAGTTAAATACCTAGGCCTTCATTTCACATTATCTACTACAATAGATTAAAAGTCGTGATACACTTACATGGTTTCCTATCTGTCTTTAGCATACTGATTGGTATACATCATATGTATCCTACTTCTCTGTCTATAGCAGCGCATGGTACTCATATATCATTATATGTGGGGGGTTTTCTACCTACATTTTGCAACTCCCTAGCTGTTCCTACATGAATGGGGAATATAAGGCATTACTTTTTTTTAAATTGGGAAGATATTCCTCATTGTTCCTTCACTTTTGGAAGTTAAATCCCATTTTTGCTAGGGGAAGATGTCTGTATTTGGATCTAAAAGTAGTAAATAATTCTCTGTTAATGTGTTACATTTACTTGTCAATAGCCATACTGCTTGGTCATGTGAAGATGAATGTGAATCAGATGAAGCAGGCACTGTTCCAGATGGACGAAGATATTCTAACTTACGAACTCCTTCGACAACTCCTTGCCTTCGCACCAAATCACCAGGAGGTCTGTATAACTCCCTGACAACTTGTCTCCTGGGTAGTTAGTCACCAGGAGGTCTGTATAACTCCCTGACAACTTGTCTCCTGGGTAGTAAGTCTCCAGGACGTCTGTATAACTCCCTGACAACTTGTCTCCTAGGTAAACTTAGTAACCAGGAGATCTGTATAACTCCCTAACAGCTTGTCTCCTAGGTAAACTTATCACCAGGAGATCTGTATAACTCCCTGACAACTTGTCTCCTAGGTAAACTTATCACCAGGACGTCTGTATAACTCCCTGACAGCTTGTCTCCTAGGTAAACTAACTAGGAGTGGTTTGGTTTTGCTGTGTTAAAACTGTTTTTAATGTTTCAGATGGAAAAATATGACTGTTTTGATGGAGACCTTGATGACCTGAGCAAACCTGATAGATTTGCATATGAAGTAAGATTTTAGAGACAAATTTCCTATTCCATTCAGTACTAATTTAATTGCTTGCCTTGATGGTGTGTTAATTCTAAACTGGATGTGTGCTCTCATAGACAGCATTAAGATATTACTAAGTTTGGGTGATACAGTTAAATAAGGCATATTTATGTCAATATAGTTGGTACAGTACAAAGTAAATTCTCCTGGATGTCTGTTTGTAGATGAGAGAATGTACTCTGTCTGTTTGTAGATGAGCCGTGTTCCTGGGTATGAACAAAGACTGAAAGCCTTAATATTCAAAGGGAATTTTAATGAGAAGATTGCAGAAATGAAAGAGGTATACATGATTTTATTTCACAATATGTTTTGTAGCGTCTTCAGAAATTGTTTCATTTAAATACAGAATATGTGCTATACATACTGTTATCATATAGCATATGTACCTAATAAGATAAAAATAAAATGGACACAACTTGATAGATCACTACAGAATATTTAACGACATTGCAATACGAAATAGTCATCATCTGCAGAACACCAGTCAAACTGACTTTAGCTTACATTTTCTTGCTAATGATAGTAAAATTCCGTTGGAATGATCCCCCAAAGGTTGTTTTAAGTAGTTGTTGCCTGCTGCTGGGAAATTCAGCGATTATATTTCCTGATATCTGAATTTTTTAAGAAACATGTTTATTGCAATTAAAGCTGACTTGTTTTAATTGGATAGAAAAGTTACCTATTAGAATGAGTTCAAATACTATTTCATGTGGGTAGTCTGTACACTCAAACAATGCATTGTATCATTTCCAGAATTTACAGAACATCAGAAAGGCATCTGCAGAACTACGTCACAGTAGGAAACTGGCTAAGATATTGGAAGTAAGTATGTGTAACACTGTTGTATGAACCTTACCATTGCACCTAGAGTCCAAACATCTGACTAGTAACAGCCATATTGTGATTGAAATGATATACCGGTAATGTACTATAAAATGCGAACTATTAGAAATTAATCCCTTCGTACATTCTGATTTTTAATGAATACTGTACTATAAATGCTTACTAGTAGCCTTTTTTTTAATTATGTACATTCTGATTGTCACAATGTATTGTACTCTGAATACATTCTGATTGCAACAATGTATTGTACTCTGAATACATTCTGATTGTCACAATGTATTGTACTCTGAATACGTTCTGATTGTCAGAATGTATTGTACTCTGAATACATTATGATTGTCACAATGTATTGTACTCTGAATACATTATGATTGTCACAATGTATTGTACTCTGAATACATTCTGATTGTAACGATGTATTGTACTCTGAATACATTCTGATTGTCACAATGTATTGTACTCTGAATACATTCTGATAGTCACAATGTATTGTACTCTGAATACATTCTGATTGCAACAATGTATTGTACTCTGAATACATTCTGATTGTTACAACGTATTGTACTCTGTAATCGTCACTAGGTTCAACATAACAATGACCATGTTCAATTGACATTCACTCATTATGCTTGGGTTATGTCGACAAATTTGACAATTGGGCCTATTCTGCAGCTCTCTTGGTTTTCTACATAGTTTACACGTCCAATTGTCAATTTATATTCAGCAATGATTATGACCAACTCAAAAATAAGAAGGTAATATTTTCTCCATACAGTTGATTTTGGCTATGGGAAACTACATGAACAAAGGCAATAACAGAGTAGGAGGTGCAGCTGGCTTTAGGATATCCTTCCTAGCACAGGTAAGTAAGGTTACCCTTCCTGGCACAGGTTAGTAAGGTTACCCTTCCTAACACAGGGAAGTAATGTTATCCTTCCTAGCACAGGTAAGTAAGGTAACCCTTCCTAGCACAGGTAAGTAATGTTATCCTTCCTAGCACAGGTAAGTAAGACTATCCTTCCTAGCACAGGTAAGTAAGGTAACCCTTCCTAGCACAGGTAAGTAAGGCTACCCTTCCTAGCAAAGGTAAGTAAGGTTATCCTTCCTAGCACAGGTACGTAAGGCTACACTTCCTAGCACAGGTAAGTAAGGTTCTCCTTCCTAGCACAGATAAGTAATGTTATCTTCTGTAGCACAGATAAGTAATGTTATCCTTCCTAGCACAGGTAAGTAAGGCTACCCTTCCTAGCACAGGTAAGTAAGGTTATCCTTCCTAGCACAGATAAGTAATGTTATCTTCTGTAGCACAGATAAGTAATGTTATCCTTCCTAGCACAGGTAAGTAAGTCTACCCTTCCTGGCACAGGTAAGTAAGGCTACCCTTCCTAGCACAGGTAAGTAAGACTACCCTTTCTGGCACAGGTAAGTAAGGCTACCCTTCCTAGCACAGGGAAGTAAGAACAACCTTCCTGTCACATGTAAGTAAGGATATACATGTAAATAGATATAATTACATTACAAAAGTAAACGGTATGTAGAAGTCTTAGGTACTAGTATTTCTTTGTGTTACTTACAACTCAAGCATTTTGTAATACTAGTGCTAGAATTGAGAGTGTTATCTATATAATATTAGGAATTTACCAGTAGAAGCTCCTGCGTTCAGTTGTATTCTCATCATTCTCATTATTAGTTGGATGTCACCAAGACTAAGGACAACAAGATGACTTTCATACATGTATTGGCCGAGGCTGTGTACTCCCAATTCCCTGATGCTTTATCAGTAGGCGAGGACCTTACCACAGTCCCTCTGGCAAGCAAAGGTATGTATTACCACAGTAGCACTTGCAAGCATGGGTATATTCATAACCACAATATCAATGGCCAGCGAAAGTATACATGACAATCCTAATGGCCAGCACAGGTATACATTACTAGTTTCATTGGCTGGGAAAGAAAAGTATGTATTATGACATTCCCTTTGTCTGACAAAGGTATGCATCACCACAATCTCATTGGCCAGAACTTTATATATGCCTGCATTTCAACAATATAAAATTCATCTTGCTAGCGAAACTGCATTTATGTTCGACGACAATCCCAGCAAATTTATCAATTACCACAATAATAATTACATTAGCCAGCAGATATATCCAATACCACAATTACATTAGCCAGCAGATATATCCATTACCACAATTGCATTAGCCAGCAGATATATCCATTACCACAATTATATTAGCCATCAGATATATCCATTACCACAATTATATTAGCCAGCAGATATATCCATTACCACAATTACATTAGCCAGCAGATATATCCATTACCACAATTACATTAGCCAGCAGATATAACCATTACCACAAGTCCCCAGCCCACCAAAGGCTTTGGTAAAGTTCAGTTATCACACAGTGAATCCAAAAAGCATATCCTTCCATAATCATATAATAGTGACTAGCATGTTTATATGTATATAAATTGTGTTTCAGTGTCTAACATTATGCTGAATCAAGAACTACAAGAACTGAGAAAAGTATTACAGGTATTTAAAGTTTTTGCCAGCAACTACTTTCTAAGGACCAGTGTTTGTTGGTGGGATGATGACTATAAGTGATGTGTAGAGAACTTTGTAGGGAGGTTTTTTTTAATAGGTTACTAAGTTCCTGTGTGAACTGAAAGTATGTGTCAGAAATGGTTAAATTGACTTACATAACATCACTATGACAACAGGGATCAAACCTATATCCAGCAATGTACATACAGTTTATGTATAGTAAGACATGTAACTTCTCCTCATGTCTTTAATCAGGATGTCTCCAACACACTGGAAAAGTTTGGATCTCAAAAGACAAGCATCGGAGCCAATGATCGCTTCCAGGATGTGATGGGAGTATCCTTTTAAAATAGAAATAGCTACATGTGGACAATATAGGTACATTTGTATATAGGTCTAGGATCAATTAGACAATCAATGTAGGTATACAGGGTTAGGGCCACTAATAGACTAGATGTATAGGACTGAAAAGAAAATTGACTTTGACATTAAACCTAGGAGCACATGGATAAATTACATATTATAATTTATATGTAAGTAACATCTGCTAGGACTGCAGAGACAATTACTGAATTGGGCTGTGACTTTTAAGACTTTATAAACTGCTATATACTAAAATATGTCTTTTGCCCGCTACAATAAACAAATATTGAAAGCAAAGAGCGTTTACCAATTCCTACTGTATTAATCTGTAGCAAAAAGTCTATAGAAATCTGATATATCTGGTCCTGCAGATCTAGTACAACAAAGTTAGACAGAGTGTTTCATAATCTGACATTTAGCAACTGATTGGTGATGTGTACATCTGTAGTTATAACTTGTTTGCAATAAGAATAAAAAAAATCTTAATAAGTTAATTTTGATACTGCATGTACTATCAATAAAGGACTGTGGTACTCAGCAATATAATTGTGTACTATCAGCAATAGGAATTCTACCTTCCACACCTGTACAAAAACACAGTTCTCCTTGACAAGGCAGCACTTTATATCACAGGCATCAGATGAGATCCAGGGTCTGTTCCGTCTCCAAGCTAATACCATGGAGGAATTCCAGGCCATGGTTCAGTTCTTTGGGGAAGACTCCAAGAAATCAACAACGGAAATATTTGGGATTTTCTCGGAGTTCATCACAAAGTTTGAAGTAGGGTTCTGCTGAAAACTGTTATCATTTATCATTACACCACTGTATACATAGCGAATGCATGTTTACAAGTCATATGGGTGTGCTATTTCCCCACATGCTTAAATTAATATTTTTTCTTGATTCTTCGATGCAAATGTGTCAAATGTTCTGATATTAGTAAAGTATTGCATATAGGGTATTAATACCATTTTCAATAAAAGTCTGTTTTATGCAAAGATTGAAAAATGAAACTGTAGATCAGGCATGATTAATGTGGGCTTTTTTTTCTTCCTTTTTCAGAGAGGACATCGTCACAACATGGTGTATAAACGGCGCTAACATCAAACATCAAGTCACTGAAAGTGCAATAAAGGCAGCTACAAATTAAATTTCCTCTCCATTTACTTACTATATGTACTTTTGTTTCCATCGTTGTGACACAGGACACTTTCATCATTACAATCTTTGGACCAGTTATTTGTTTGGATCATGTGAACTATATATCTTCCTTTGTAATGTGTAATTATGGGAACTACAGTGCCTTCAGGATAGAGAATGTTGCTGACAACAAAGAATACTTTATCAGAATCATGTCACAGATGAAGACATGAATTGTCACTGCTTATAGATAACAACAACTGTGTCACTGCTTATACATAACATCAACAACTGTGTCACCGATATCATACAACAACTGTGTCACTGATATACAACAACTGTGTCACTGATATCATACAACAACTGTGTCGCCGATATCATACAACAACTGTGTCACTGAAATCATACAACAACTGTGTCAGTGATATCATACAACAACTGTGTCACTGATATCATACAACAACTGTGTCACCGATATCATACAACAACTGTATCACCGATATCATACAACAACTGTGTCACTAATATCATACAACAACTGTCACCGATATCATACAACAACTGTGTCACTGATATCATACAACAACTGCGTCACTGATATCATACAACAACTGTATCACCGGTATCATACAACAACTGTGTCACTAATATCATACAACAACTGTCACCGATATCATACAACAACTGTGTCGCTGATATCATACAACAACTGTGTCACCAATATCATACAACAACTGTGTCACCGATATCATACAAAAAAAAACATATTTCACTAATAACAATTTACAACAACAACTGTGTCACTGATATCACACAAAAACCCATCTTTCACTAATAACACTTGACAACAATAACTGTCACCGATATCATACGAAAAAAACATCTTTCACTAATAACACTTGACAACAATAACTGTGTCACCAATATCATACAAAAAACACATCTTTCACTAATAACATTTGACAACAACAACTGTGTCACTGATATCATACAAAAACCCATCTTTCACTAATAACATTTGACAACAACAACTGTGTCACCAATATCATACAAAAAAAAACATCNTATACAACAACTATGTCACTGATATTATACGAAAAAAACATCTTTCACTAATAACACTTGACAACAACAACTGTGTCACCAATATCATACAAAAAAACCATCTTTCACTAATAACACTTGACAACAACAACTGTCACCAATATCATACAAAAAAACATCTTTCACTAATAATACTTGACAACAACAACTGTCACCAATATCATACAAAAAAACATCTTTCACTAATAATACTTGACAACAACAACTGTCACCAATATCATACAAAAAAACATCTTTCACTAATAATACTTGACAACAACAACTGTCACCAATATCATACAAAAAAACATCTTTCACTAATAATACTTGACAACAACAACTGTCACCAATATCATACAAAAAAACATCTTTCACTAATAACACTTGACAACAACAACTGGGTCACTGTTATCATACAAAAAAAACATCTTTCACTAATGACACTTTACAACAACAACTGTGTCACCAATATCATACGAAAAAAACATCTTTCACTAATAACACTTGACAACAATAACTGTCACCGATATCATACGAAAAAAACATCTTTCACTAATAACACTTGACAACAACAACTGTGTCACTGGTATCATACAAAAAAAAACCATCTACTAATAACACTTTACAACAACAACTGTGTCACCAATATCATACAAAAAAAAACCATCTTTCACTAATAACACTTGACAACAACAACTGTGTCACTGTTATCATACAAAAAAAACATCTTTCACTAATTACACTTTACAACAACAACTGTGTCACCAATATCATACAAAAAAAACACATCTTTCACTAATAACACTTTACAACAACAACTGTGTCACCAATATCATACGAAAAAAACATCTTTCACTAATAACACTTGACAACAACAACTGTGTCACTGGTATCATACAAAAAAACAATCTTTCACTAATAACAATTTACAACAACAACTGTGTCACTGATATTATACAAAAACCCATCTTTCACTAATAACACTTGACAACAACAACTGTGTCACTGTTATCATACAAAAAAAACATCTTTCACTAATTACACTTTACAACAACAACTGTGTCACTGATATCATACGAAAAACCCATCTTTCACTTATTACACTTTACAACAAAAACTGTGTCACCGATATCATACAAAAAAACATCTTTCACTAATAACACGTTACAACAACAACTGTGTCACCAATATCATACAAAAAAAAACATCTTTCACTAATAACACTTGACAACAACTGTGTCACCAATATCATACCAAAAAACCATCTTTCACTAATAACACTTTACAACAGATGTGTTGCTGATACTATTATACAAAAACTGAGAATGTTTTATGTCCCACAATATACTAGGGGGCACTAACTGATAGCCTTTCCCACTGGTCCGTCTGTCCATACATCTAGCTGAATTACTCTTATCATATACCAGAAGTTCAATGTCTTGAGTACTACAGTGTGATGTCAACTGTAGGTCACTGTGATCCATTTAGCTCCATTGCTCTGAAAAATAGAATTCCTACTACAGCACTCTATTAAATGAAGGTAACTGTGAACCATGGTTTTCGCTTCACTGACTTTGGTAGGACTTAATATCAAACTCCACCTTTTGGTTTAGAGTTGGGCTACTTTTATTGTCACCAAAGCAGGAGTATATCCATGTTTTACCAACATTTTCAAGTTCCCGGATAACATTAAAAAACAACTGTGTCTATGATAACATTCTATGACAACAAATTAAGTGTGCAAGTGAAATAACCTTTGAAAACAACTGTGTCTCTGTAATCACTGCGTCTCTAAAACCATTGTACAATGACTGTGTTATTGGTGACCTTGTACAACTGCAGTATTGGTGAATTGATAATATCGTACAGAAACTGTCATACATTTATAGCATTACACAACAACTGTGTCATGCTACAGAAGATCCTGGCCAAGTTTGTCCTAGCGCAAATAATGATCAAGTCCCCTACATTTAAAACGTATTGAAATGCTATATAATTTCTCGCTATGTAAGGAACTGTAGTTAAGGTCAGAACTTTGTCAAGGAAAGGTGCCAGTCTCTTGTCATAGGTATTTGTGGTCAAAGAATGGTGTCTTTTGTCATGCGTGTTTGTGGTCAAAGATTGGTGTCTTGTAATACATGTTTGTGGTCAAAGATTGGTGTCTTTTGTCATACGTGTTTGTGGTCAAAGATTGGTGTCTTTTGTAATACATGTTTGTGGTCAAAGATTGGTGTCTTTTGTCATACGTGTTTGTGGTCAAAGATTGGTGTTTTTTGTAATACATGTTTGTGGTCAAAGATTGGTGTCTTTTGTAATACAGGTTTGTGGTCAAAAAGATTAGTGTCTTTTGTAATACATGTTTGTGGTCAAAGATTAATGTCTTTTGTAATATATGTTTGTGGTCAAAGATTGGTGTCTTTGGTAATTATTGTATATGGTCAATGAATGTTGTCTTTGGTAATGTGTGTCTTTGGTAATTAATGTCTGTGCTCAAACATTGGTATGCCTTGTATGTTTATGGAAAGTGTGTTGACTGAGCAGACTCGGCAGTATTCAGTGTATTGTACAATTGCAGTAAATTGCTCAATGTTTCAATTTTTGAACTCTTTTTATGACAAATTCATTGAAATAAGGGTTTCTTAGATGTCTTGAAGAATCTATATTTGACATCACAGTACTGTCACTTTGACCTTTTCTTTGTCATTTTTATAATAATTAAGCGAGGAAACGACCTGCTTTAGTTGTTTGACATTTTAAAGCTATATGTTCTTAGTCATTCGTGTTTTGGTACATGTGTAATGTGATTGTGTGTTGTGTAAGATTTGAATACTCCGGTAATGTTATTGTGAACTGTATTTAATACATCAACAAAGGTGCACTATATACGTGTATACATTTGAGATCAGACTATCACACTCGATACCTTCAATTTACTACAGTTACCAAGACTTATGATAAATAAAGACATATTGGATGCTTGCATATGAATTCTGTTGTATGTTGAGACAGTTTTTGTATTCAGATACGCGCGTAAAACTGTGGCGTAAAAAGTTAATCTGTGACAGTACAATTACAATATACCGCCGCAAATTTTAATATAAGTACATACTATCCAATAACATCCGCAAGAAGAAACTGTGACCTTGACCCTAAAATAACCCTTAGATTACGTTACAGAATGTCTTTGTCAACCTTATCTTGCTCTTAATTTGGAGTCATTAGAATGAGTGCTAGTCCCACTCATCCTCGAAATTCTAGGGGTTGCTATCACTTGCACTGTACGTTCTCTTCATCCCTGGAATATGTCCTGACGAAGTGGAAGGCACGAGGGTATAAAATAAACTGACCAATCGCTAGGCTGATACTAAGGAGCGAACCCGACTCCAAAGCCGGTCAATTTTACCGCAATACTGACAACAGATTCATTGGTTCAAACCATGGACTGAGCCTTTAATTTTGTCACGACATATTCTAGGTGTACAGAAAACGTAAGTGGTCACAATCCCCTGAATTTGGAGATGCCCCCTTTACACGAGTAGTTTCTCCACTTTCACTCCTATATATCGCGTCGTCAGACGTCACCACTTTATGCATGGTAACCATATAGGTTCAAAAATCTGAACCTTCGCTAGCCTCGTGCTAATCCTAAAAAGACCTCGGTAGATAGGAGTTCTATATTATAACAATCTCGAAGGAGTTTCCCATATGATACACTGGCAAATAAAGATCGTGAAGAAATTTCTATCTCGCATGGCATTTCACAAGCGGAGTGGTGATTGTGATAACGTCGTTACTATGGGGCAATGTGAAGTCATGATTTAGAAATAAAGTTACTCCAACTACATCATGATACCCCTTCCCCTTATAGAATTAATGAATATTTATCATGTATTGTGTATTTAGTAGATAGTGATACTGATTTTACTAATCATTCCCCGAGTACGTGTATTTAACAACAGTTTATTAGTGCCATATGCCAACACCATCGCAGACAGGTTAGGGGACCTAGTCTAATTAGCCCTACAGACAGGTTAGGGGACATAGTCTAATTAGCCCTACAGACAGGTTAGGGGACATAGTCTAATTAGCCCTACAGACAGGTTAGGGGACATAGTATAATTAGCCCATAAGACAGATTAGGGGCTATAGTCTAATTAGCCCTACAGACAGGTTAGGGGACATAATCCAATTAGCCCTACAGACAGGTTAGGGGACATAGTCTAATTAGCCCTACAGACAGGTTAGGGGACATAGTCTAATTAGCCGAACAGACAGATTAGGGGGCCATAGTCTAATTAGCCGAACAGACAGATTAGGGGCTATAGTCTAATTAGCCCTATAGACAGGTTAGGGGACATAATCCAATTAGCCCTACAGTCAGGTTAGGGGACATAGTATAATTAGCCCTATAGACAGGTTAGGGGATATAGTCTAATTAGCCCTACAGACAGGTAAGGAGCCACAGTCTAATTAGCCCTACGGACAGGTTAGGGGAAATAGTCTAATTAGCCCTACAGACAGGTTAGGGAACATAATCCAATTAGCCCTACAGTCAAGTTAGGGGACATAGTCTAATTAGCCCTACAGACAGGGTAGGGGCCATAGTCTAATTAGCCCTACAGACAGGTTAGGGGACATAGTATAATTAGCCCTACAGACAGGTTAGGGGATATAGTCTAATTAGCCCTACAGACAGGTAAGGAGCCACAGTCTAATTAGCCCTACAGACAGGTTAGGGGAAATAGTCTAATTAGCCCTACAGACAGGTTAGGGGCCATAGTCTAATTAGCCCTACAGACAGGTTAGGGGACATAGTCTAATTAGCCCTACAGACAGGTTAGGGAACATAATCCAATTAGCCCTACAGTCAAGTTAGGGGACATAGTCTAATTAGCCCTACAGACAGGTTAGGGGGAATAATCAAATTAGCCCTACAGTCAGGTTAGGGGACATAGTATAATTAGCCCTACAGACAGGTTAGGGGACCTAGTCTAATTAGCCCTACAGACAGGTTAGGGGACATAGTATAATTAACCCTACTGACAGGTTAGCGGACATAGTCTAATTAGCCCTACAGACAGGTTAGGGACATAGTCTAATTAGCCCTACAGTCAGGTTAGGGGACCTAGTCTAATTAGCCCTACAGACAGGTTAGGGCCCATAGTCTAATTAGCCCTACAGACAGGATAGGGGGCCATAGTCTAATTAGCCGAACAGACAGATTAGGGGGCCATAGTCTTATTAGCCGAACAGACAGATTAGGGGCTATAGTCTAATTAGCCGTACAGACAGGTTAGGGGACATAGTCTAATTAGCCCAACAGATAGATTAGGGGACATAGTCTTATTAGCCCTACCGTCAGGTTAGGGGGCATAGTCTAATTAGCCCTACAGACAGGTTATGGGACATAATCCAATTAGCCCTACAGTCAGGTTAGGGGACATAGTCTAATTAGCCCTACAGACAGGTTAGGGGACATAGTCTAATGAGCCCTACAGACAGGTTAGAGGACATAGTCTAATGAGCCCTACAGACAGGTTAGGGGACATAGTCTAATTAGCCCTACAGACAGGTTAGGGGGCCATAGTCTAATTAGCCGAACAGACAGATTAGGGGGCCATAGTCTTATTAGCCGAACAGACAGATTAGGGGCTATAGTCTAATTAGCCGTACAGACAGGTTAGGGGACATAGTCTAATTCGCCCTACAGACAGGTTAGGGGACATAGTCCAATTAGCCCTACAGACAGGTTAGGGGACATAGTCTAATTAGCCCTACAGACAGGTTAGGGGACATAGTCCAATTAGCCACTTCGGATATCAACAACGATATTCTTACACAGAACTACGATATAATTGGCATAAGTGTCTGTAAATTATAAACCAGTGCAGATTGCACCTTTTACTTTTAAATGATAATTCAAACGTCAAACTAGGAAATCCTATTTTTACTTGATAGGTCATCGGAACCACGCCATGAGACTCCTTTATCAAGTAACTTAGTCAACACACGTTTGTTAATGGATATTAGGAATTCAAATTGTTAAAGGAATTATGAGCCCTTTAGTAGGTTTATTTGACAATTAAATTTGCATGTGCCTGGGTATGTCTGTGACAAAAATGTACTACCAGCAAAATTATTGTGACTGTCCGCTCTCTGCCAAGCTATAAGGTATCACCCTAAATCTATCCTCAACGGTCTTTGACTGTCCTCTCGTGGTGTTCACAGCTTGCTGCCAGTGTAGAGTGTAGCCCCTTAATTAGCTGCGGGAACCGTAGCTTATAGGTCCGATAACAATAATAAAAATAAAAATAAAAAATATCGGGCCTAGTAGCTACGGTTCCCACAGCTTCCCCTTAATAGGAGACGTTCTCTACATCAGGATAAACACGTTTGATACAGAGGACAATGGGACGGCTTTACTAAATAGGTATGGGGCCACAGTCTAAACGGGAAGGACATATTTGGTTTATTTCAGTAACGAATATTTATGGAACACATCTCAAGTACACACAGAAATGGGTAAAAGGTAGAGTCTATGTAAGTCCTCTCCTTAGATCTCAGGTGTGTAGGGGAAACACACTTTGGTATAGATCTATAACAATCTATAACGGAGGAATATGGGTCACACTCTACAACGGGAGACACACATTTGGTACATAGGTCACACTCAACAACGGGAGATACACATTTGGTACATAGGTCACACTCTACAACGGGAGACACACATTTGGTACATAAGTCACACTCTACAACGGGAGACACACATTCGGTCCATAGGTCACACTCTACAACGGGAGACACACATTTGGTACATAGGTCACACTCTACAACGCAAGGGTAGGCGGGTGAGGGTTACATATACTTATTTGGCATATTTTACAGAAGGAATGTACTTTGTACTTCAATATGGTCCGGACATCCTATGTGATAAATTGTTTTTAGATTGCAAATTACTTCCGTAAAACAACACGAACTATTTTGCTATTACATCCATTCTACGTGTTCTATCACGGACTTAAACAGATCTAACCTAATTTCGTGGTTCTATCTTCCCGTCGGTTCATAACCTTTAACGGTCATGAACGGAAAACATATCACAGAAGACCCTCTATAGATAAGTGAGGTGACACTGGCAGTACAACAAGACTTAACCTAACACAATGTCTGCCGTCATGGTTCTCCGCGTATTGATTGTGACAGTGTTGTTCTGCGGTTGCCTTACATCACCAATGAAGCCAGAAGCGGCCAATAGAGGGCTTTTTTCCGCGTTTCAAGACATATTCGGATGCGGGGTGAATATGATGCTGGATGCGGCTGGTGGAATGTCCCAGACGATTGGAGCAGGCATGGACACCGCGATGAACATGTTCGGTAACATACCTTTTACTTTCGATACATAACAAGACCAGAGATTACGTACACCTTTTTCCTCACAGTTTGGTGATTTTGTTCTTTTTATGCCGTCATTATTTTCGTCATTCTGTTCTTCTTTTACATTTTGCGTGTCACACTGTCTCACTTCATGACAAATTGTAGGGAAAATGGACTTTTCCATGCATTTATGAAACTTAACATATTATTCTACAGGTACTAGCCTCGTCTGTCAATATATATTATGGGTGTGATTATTCCACACATCTATCGGTTGATGGTCAGGGTCAAAGGCTAAGGTTACGGGTACAGAATCTTTACATGATAATGGAAAACATACACATGCAAGCTCAACTTTCATGTCACCGTGCGGACTCCATCAACGACACAGTGGGCGTAGTATGCACTGTTTGTCGTACTCTTGGATCGGATTCTGAAGTTGCTCTTTTTATCTTGCAATTAATGAAGCAACTTCGTTTATCAAAATTTCATAACCTAAAAATACCCCTGCCCCTAATGAGAATGTGTCCCTTATTGACAGCACCTCTATTTATGGAAGAATTGTAAGATTTCAGCATTTTACACATAATTTTGCAACATTACGACATTACCAGGTTTATGGTAATGTTCAAGTTTCCTGTTTAGGATTTCCAACATGGGACTAGGTAATAGTACCTTAAAAGAAATTGAAAAGTAAAGAGGGAAAAAGGTAATCTTTTGTAGATCTAATAATGATCCTTTGGGTACCAAGATCCTCCTAGGATATCTTGTTGTATATGGAATTGAATACTATTATGCACACTCGAAAGTATTTATTTATGGTACAAATGTCACGCTGTAGAATAAATCTTGTCACTTTAATTCCTATGCTCTGTCATCATTGGACAAACTTTTTCATTCACACAGCTGCTACTTAAAGAATTTCAATGGTTAATGAAAAAAATGTATTACACTAATCTATAATACAAATGATAATAAAAAAAAGTAATTTTATTTAATTTATTTTCAGGTGGTTTCTCACCATTCCAATGGAATCCTTTTGCCAGCAGTAAGTATGTAAAACTAATATTTCGGAGACAGAAAATATACTGTCCTCTCCCTAACAATTATCATTCCTTATCTATAGGAAATCGTTAATTTAGTAATTTCTCCCTATCTTGATGGAAGCAACTTTTAGTATGTAAAGAATGTGCATTTGTTATGGTTGCAATCATAATACCATTGGGAAATATAATATTTCTCTATAATCTCTGTGATTTAAAGGTAATGTTTTTCATGATGTTCATTTAATTGTGGCTTGTAGTTTTATCAGCACTCTCCCGTCTCTCACTTTGAGGGCGTGCCTTGTAGTTTTAACATCACTGCCCCATCTCACACTTTTGGGGTGTGGCTTGTAGTTTTATCATCACTGCCCCATCTCTCACTTTGAGGATGTGCCTTGTAGTTTTAACATCACTGCCCCATCTCTCACTTTGGGGGTGTGGCTTGTAGTTTTATCATCACTGCCCCTTCTCTCACTTTGAGGGTGTGCCTTGTAGTTTTATCATCACTGCCCCGTCTCTCACTTTGTGGGTGTGCCTTGTAGTTTTATCATTACTGCCCCGTCTCCCACTTTGAGGGTGTGCCTTGTAGTTTTATCACTGCCCCGTCTCTCACTGTGTGGGTGTGCCTTGTAGTTTTATCATCACTACCCCGTTTCTCACTTTGTGGGTGTACATTGTAGTTTTATTATCACTGCCCCGTCTCTCACTTTGAGGGTGCGCTTGTAATTTTATCATCACTGCCCCATCTCTAACTTTGGGGTGTGGCTTGTAGTTTTATCATCACTGCCCCGTCTCTCACTTTGGGTGTGCCTTGTAGTTTTATCATCACTGCCCCGTCTCTCACTTTGAGGGTGTGCGTTGTAGTTTTATCATCACTGCCCCGTCTCTCATTTTGGGTGTGCCTTGTAGTTTTATCATCACTGCCCCGTCTCTCACTTTGAGGGTGTGCCTTGCAGTTGTATCATCACGGTCCCGTCTCTCACTTTGAGGATGTGACATTACTTGGATTTGACTTACAGGTAGATTTACCTACAGGTGTCATCAGTGAAGCAGATCACACTTTCACACCTGTTTTTTTTAGGTCACCTGAGCTTTAGCTCAAGTGACCTATTGCTATCCGTCTTCGTCTGTCGTCGTCTGTCGTGCGACGTCCGTTAACATTTTACATTTTCAACTTCAGCTGAAATACTGGCAAAGGGATTTCATTCATATTTCATGGGAAGTTTACTTACATTTCCCTTACCAAGTGTTGTTATTTTTCGGGTCAATCAGAAATCCAATATGGCCGACACGGCCGCCATTTTGAAAAAACAATTTTAAACTTAAAGTCAAGTTCTGCTGGGCCGATTGAACCGAAACCCGGTAGGAATGATCGACTTATGGTCCTGACAAAGTGTTGTCATTTTTCGGGTCAATCAGAAATCCAATATGGCCGACACCGCCGCCATTTTAAAAAACTATTTCGAACTTAAAGTAAAGTTCTACTGGGCCGATTGAACTGAAACTTAATAGGAATGATCGACTCATGGTCCTGACAAAGTGTTGTTATTTTTCGGGTTGATCAGAAATCCAACATGGCCGACACGGCCGCCATTTTGAAAAAACAATTTTAAACTTAAAGTCAAGTTCTGCTGGGCCGATTGAACCGAAACCCGGTAGGAATGATCGACTTATGGTCCTGACAAAGTGTTGTCATTTTTCGGGTCAATCAGAAATCCAATATGGCCGACACCGCCGCCATTTTTTAAAACTATTTCCAACTTAAAGTAAAGTTCTACAGGGCCGATTGAACTGAAACTTGGTAGGAATGATCGACTCATGGTCCTGACAAAGTGTTGTTATTTTTCGGGTTGATCAGAAATCCAATATGGCCGACACGGCCGCCATTTTGAAAAAACTATTTCCAACTTAAAGTTAAGTTCTGCTGGACCGATTGAACTGAAACTAAAAGCTAAAGCTCAGGTGACCTAAAAACAAGTTCTAATAGGCCGATTGAACTAAAACTTGGTGCCGGAATGGTCAGCTCATGGTCCTGGCAAACTCAAGTTAACATTATACTTAACTATTTTTTTACTCAAATTGGTACATATTTCAACAACAAAAATAAATACTGTAGGACTCAGGTGACCCTTAAGGCCCATGAGCCTCTTGTATTGTTCTCCTTGTACTTTTTTAATCATGTGTTTCCTTTGTTTATATTTTGTCCTGGTTTCAATCGAAACTTTCATTGATTTTGAGTTCAAATTACAATTTTGTTGACACTTTATTGGTCATCTTTGCTAGCAAAGAGTTACAATCCGTCCTGATTGGAAGAGTAGGTAGACCGGATCGTACTGATCATAACCCTTGGCTAGCCAAGATATTTATTGGTATGTTCTTGTTTTTTCCAATGAGGAAATTGAATAAAATCTTTTGCATTTTGCTTAAGGTCAGTGTGTATGACAACTTTATCTAACCTGTGATGATATCTGATGTGAATTGTTTACTGAAGATTCCTATATATACCTGTTTATGCACATGTATCACTTTGTAACTACAGATGCTGCTTTGGACAATGTCCTCTCCAGTGCTACAATAAAGCCACCCACAGAAACAACTATAGCACCAACTGTAGCACCAACTACAAGTGCCAACCCGGAACACCACTGGATAGCCCTGGGCAGGAAATAGTTCTTGTTCACAAAAAATACTAAAATTTAAATTCAATAAATCCTGACTGGATTGAATAAAAAATAAACATTTTCGTAACTGTATTATAATGGCCATTATTTTCTTTTCAAATGGAAACCAAAGTACATATATGTATATCAAGGAATATGCAAAATTTACATCTGTCTAGTCTAGCATGAAATGTTTATCAACATGCTCAGTAAGAGTAGACATAATTTCATAAATGTTGTTAACCTATGAAAGTGATGCGTTCTGGTGTTATGAGGAATACTAACCCTTTTATTTAAGATTGTCCTTAAACTCCTATGAAATACGAGACCGATTGTGGGCCTTCATTACTAACCTGAATATCTAAGCAATCATAGCAAAACATGTGGGTCAAGGTCATTTATAACATAACACTTAATAGTGGTCCATCTAAGATATGTACTGGTCAAATGTCAGGACAATTTGATTAAACTTACAATGAAGATACCCAATGTAGCCAATGTTAACCTTTGACTATGGCTAGTGTTAAAAGTTGACCTTTGACCTAAGTAAGAAATATTAGTTAAAAGATTCACACTGCTGGCCTGTTTTTAACATATATGACTTTGAAAGTAGGTCAAGGTCAGTTACTAGGTATATAGAGTACTCCATTAAAGATATCCACTGACCAAATATTGGAACCCTTGGCCTTATGGAACTAAAAAAAGAGTATTCATAAAGTGGTTATCCTGTTAAATATGCATCATTCACCACCTGGATATTCATGCAATTATGACAAAATATTCTTAGTTTTGTAAATATATCCCCCATTGTCAGATACATCTTTCTAGTCTGAAGGATGATTCATAGCTAATCTGGATTAAGTGTCCCTGTATCTGTAAATTGTTAAAAGGTTGGGATCAGGACTGTTTCTATGCCTGAGAATAAGTACCTGGGGGAGGGGGCAGATTCTAGTAGAATAATGAGTTCTTTACTTCATGCCTAGCCAGCATATGAATGATTATATGATGGGGATCTCAACTATTTTCAAGTTTTGACCAAAGTACTAAGAAATATCTTTGCATTACAGGTCTACCTACTTGACCCCTATGACCTAGAAAGTATGTCCAGGTCACTGATATGAGGAAACTTCATAGCACTCTCAGGTACCTATTGTCCAAATGTCAGGATCCTGTCCTAAAGAAGTTGTTCAAAGTAAAACGTTGACCAATGTAGCATCTTCCAAATAGACACATACAATTCTGAAATGCTCAACTGGTTTTAGCTACATCTGTACAATAGTTTAAAGTTTCAACCTAACACATGTATAAATAAAGGCAAGAGAGAGATAATAAGGAAAAGTTGACAGATGAACAGTGCAAGGTATACCATGCAGTGACCAGTCGTCATAGGGTGTATAAAAATGGTCTTGTAAGGTATTATCCAAAACTTGAATGCAACAAACGGATAACTAGACGAGAATGACTGATATACTAACACTTACATGGCATGGGAAGAGGACATGGTGGCCTGTAAGTTTACAAATTCTGTACTGCAAATGGACTGGTCGAGAATAAATCTCAAACTGACGATCAATAGAAACAAGAGGCCCAAGGGTCTAAGCGGTCAACTGAGTTATACCATAGGTACTGGTAGCCCAATTTCATTATTGAGATGTGATGTGGAAATCAACATGTAAACAAAGTGAAATACAATACTTGTCATGTCACCATAGGATAAGAACTCTAAAAACTATTCAAATACATTATTTTGCTATTGAGAAATATAATATCTATTGTTATTTAGCCATTTTTCCTCTCTGGCCAACCCATGGGATAGTACAGGATCTTAGTTTCTGATACTATTTGATTTCAATTTCATTTTAACTATTTCAACCAAGTTCGAATTATTTCTTGCTGAAAATTGACAAGATATAGTCAGAAGTGTTATTTCCCTATACATGTATAAACAATGGAGAACAGATGACCAATGGGTAATATAACTAACATTTTATATAATGCACCTAAGGGCATTTCCATCCCAAAAAAGAAATTTGAATCTTTTACCATCTGAGTGCAGAGGTTTTTTAAATATCAGCCATTTTCCCCTTTTTGGCCCCTACCCTCCTCTCCAGCCCCTGGGGCAAGGACAGATTTTTTTTTTTCAAATTGATAATGCACCTAAGGACCTTTCTATCCATGAAGAGCATTTGTTTTTGCAACACATCAGAGTCTGATGAAGAAGTTTTTTTGAACTTTTTAACCATTTACCCTATTCGGGCCTAAACTATAGTAAACTCGACCCCCTCCCCTAGGGAGAACGGATTGCCCTGGGGTACTGAAATTTACAATTTACATAAAGTCTGTGATGATCTTTCCATCCATGTAGGTAAATTGACTGTAGTACCTCTGGAGTCTCAAGTAGAAGATTTTTGGAAATATTGGTTAATTTTCCTTTGGGGCCCCGCCCTGGCCCCTGGGTTTGGGGCAGGAATCCCAATTTTACAATTTGATACCATCTTTCTCCAAGGATGATTCTCACCAGTTAAGAATAATTTCGTACTGAAAATTGACAAAATATACCCAAAAGTGTTATTTCCCTATATAAACTATAATAAACTTGACCCTCTTCCCAAGGGAGAACGTATAGCCCGGGGGTACTGAAATTTACAATTTACATAAAGCCCTTGATGATCTTTCCATCCATGCAGAGAAACTGACTGTAGTACCTCCGAGTCCATCATTGTGCAGAAGAAGATCCTCATCTGCCAAGGATGATTCTGACTAAGTTTAAAAAAAAAGCAAAGCTCAGGTGACCTAAAAACTACTACAAAATTGACAATTTGTTCAACCTTTTAATGGTGAAAATTAAATACAGGAAATGTTCCATTCGAATTATTTCAGCATGTCTCAGAAAAGCTTGAAATTTCATGAAATATTTCAATATACACGATGCACTAGAATCTGCATATAAGTAATTAAAGAAAAGAATAGAAGAAGTTTTTTTTCCATTGCTTTCTATATTTATCCATATTCTCTTTATAAGGAACTCTAATGCAATTTTTGTAAACCTCCAGGAAAATGGCTTCATTATGAAGATTTCTGAACTTATAAATTCACACTGATGTACTAAGTATGGCAGTGTGCCCGAGGCAACAATAGAGACTGGAAGTCCCACTGTTAAAAAACAATGTGTGTGTTTAGACGACTATTGGTCTACCACTTTTGTAGCACTATTAATTTTTGATGAGAATTATGATGGTCAATGGAGCTTGTGTACCATCTCCTCCTTGGTAATGAGGTGATTTGTCTTGTTGACAAGTTGCATCAGTGTGGTGATGTTGTGGGACCAGTCATTGAGAATGTCACTTGGGTCCTTTTGGTGGGTGAAATTCACTATACCCGCCATGCGATCCATCTTGGCTTGAACAGTCTTGTTCACAACAAGGTTGGACAAAAATTCTTCAGATTCCTAAAAGTAGACATTACATTCTTAGTCACAGTCATATATATATTTATATATATACATTTCTAACCATTAACAGAAGCTTGAAACAACTTTCTCCTTCCTCTGTGTATGTCAGATGTTAGTTACACGGTAACTTTTTTTCATTTTTTCCCTTCAAATTAGAATACTAGCCTAATGCCATCCCAAATTCTACAGCTTGGGAATCAATCACAAATAGCAACAAAAAATATTAACCATAAATGTTAATATCTTACCGCTTCAGACTGGTCCAAAAGATCAGCAATTCTCTTGGTCCTCACACGGGTATAGTATTTGGCCATCACACGAATATTCTAAAATACATCATTACACAATTACTTTTAGATTCATTCTTATATATTCCAAATTTTTACACTCCTTCACATGATATAATGGTATGTATCAATCTCATATTCAGCAAAAAGCATTTATAGTGACAAACTGAAATAAAGCTCAACATGTTTATGAGCAGTTCACTTTTGTAAATTCTACATCATAAAACCTCATCATACCACAAGAGGTTGGATGAACAATGTTTAACCCTTTTTACTGACAGCACTGAAACTTAAGATACTTTTTGAGGTTTTTATTCCTTTGACAATGTCTGTTACTCACATGTTCTACAACTCTATTTTTTAGGTCTGCCCAGCGTTTTGCTCCCCCTTCCAGCTTTGTGTTGAAGACGTGGGTAGCTGGACTACTTGTGGAACCAAACTTTAGCTCGCTCTCGTATGTCAGACACAGCTGCTTCCATGTGATCAGCTCTGACGTCGTGAAACAATTTAGAAGCTCTCTGCAGAGTAAAACTAGGTGTAATTAAGACAGAAGTGTCACAAAATTCATTTTCAAGGAAAACAATTGACAAAGATATTCCTGCAACAACATGGCCAATAAAATATTGAAATGAAAATTACATGCAAACGTGTGTACTTGATGTAAAACTATGAACATTTATGATGACACACTTACTGGTATTTGGCAATTTCTTCCAGATTTCTGTCTTCCTTGACTCTGTGTATGAAGTCTGACTGCTCATTATCGTAGGGTGCCAGTATCACATACAGTACTACATAACGCAGAGCCTGCAGGTCAAGGGTCAAAAGTCTTTATTCATGATCATTGTACTGTAGTCTAAAGATAGGATGAATTCAAACTTTCTAGATATAAACAAACTAATCTGCATAACCCAAAAGTAAATCTATATAACACAAAAGGTAATATGAATTACCTAAAAGGTAATCTATATTACCAAAAGGGTAGTCTGTATTACCATGCACATAACATCCTAGCCAATAATCAAGTTGTAAGTCTCAAACACAGAGATCAATTAACATGTTGAGCTTTGAAAACTCTGAAAAAATGTTATATTGTAACTATTAAAAAAAAGAAAATCATATATCCCTGTACTGAAACATTTTAATGCAAAATTTGTACGTAATGGAAATCAAAACTAGCATTTGACCAATTATGAGAAAAATCAATAAATATACTATAAACTCCCAACACTTTTTTGTTAGTAAATCAGTTAAAAAACCAACATCAAGCTGTACCAAGTTTTTTCTCTCTCCAGCAAATCAATGATTTTAACCTGATGGTGATTCACCTAATTCCAAGGACTAGTATGTTTTTCAGTATGAATTTGAATGAATATGAGAAACTGACTCCTAATATTACTCCGTGTTTCACTGACCTATGACTTGAGACAAGTGTGTTGTGCTTACCTCCCTCATTTTGTCTTTGTTTTCTTTGATCTCTGGTGTATCATATACAGCTTTGTAATGTTTACAGATTGCAAGGTAGGATCCCTCATGTTCGTCAAGCTCAATCATCAACTGGTAATATTTCAACTTTAGCTCCTGAAAGTACACAGTCAAATATCAGTATCGTGTCGTTTTATAAGTGTACAACAATCTACTTAATCAACCTAAACATGTAACTTATTGATAACACGAACTATATCTCTGTGTTACATGTTGATACTGTAACACAATGTAGATCTGAGTGTTACATATTGATAATACAATATAGATCGGTTTGGTTTGGTTTAGTATTGTTTAACGTCTTATCAACAGCTATGGTCATTTAAGGACTGCCTTCCCTGTGGGCAAGATGCATGCGTGTGTGATTTGGGAGGCTGCAATATGTTCGTGTTTGTCTCCTTGTGATAGTGTGGAACTGATGCCGACTTTATAGTGCTACCTCACTGAAACATACTGCCTAAGACAGTCAGCAGGACACCCCAGCCAGTCACATTATACTGACAACGAGCGAACCAGTCGTCCCACTTCTAAGTTGCTGAGCGTTAAGCAGGAGTAGAAACTACCATTTTTACAGACTCTGGTATGTCTCGGCCAGGGGACAAAACCAAAAGCCTTCCTCACAGGGGCGAATGCTCAACTAAAGGCCAAAAGTGAGCCATTGTCAAGAGAGACATTAGAAAGAAGAAAGTTGTTTAGAAAGAAGAGAAAAGATAAGATCCCAAATTTAGTCGCCTCTTCCGATATGAGGGCAGCAGGTACAATTCTTACGCCCTACGTGCAGGGACCCAATATAGATCACAGCGTCACATATTGACAATGAAATCTAGATCAGTGTTACATATTAGATTGGAGAGTTATATTAAAAATACAATTAAGATCTAATGTTACATATTGATCATACACTACAGATCTCTGTGGTACATTTTGATCACTCGGTCCAGACCCGAGTGTTGCACATTGATAATACAATTTAGATGCAAGTAAACGTACGGTTGTTCCTGCTTCCTCAAAGAACTTTGAGCTAATTTTTTTGCTGATGATCTGTGTCCTGATGTAGTCCTTCTTTGCTAGGCACAATCTCATCTGTTCTAGAATAAACTCCACCTTTTCCTTCTTTTCCATTGACCCAAACGTCTCCACCTAGAACATCCAACAGTCAAAATGGGTCAATATTTTAAAATTGTATTGCTATTCAAACACTGCTTACATGTATATTTTCAGATATTTTTTTTCTAAAAATACCTTGTGCAACATTCTGTTGAGATATTTACGATCAATGCAACAAATAAAAAAAAGATAATACTGTTACAGCCATGCATTTGACCAACTTTATACTACACAGCCTTGTCTTGTTCATATCGTTTGACCTGTGAACTGTTCTGTGTACTGACCTGTAGCTCCTGAAGTATGTCCGCAGCCTCCGTTACCTTGCCACTGTCTTCCTTTATCTTGGCCAGAGTTCTGGTGAGTCGTGCACGCTCAATTTCCACATAGATCTGTACACAAAACAAATGCAATGACAGCATATAAAGGATTTAATGAAATTTTATTGATATGCAACTACACAGAGATAGAATATATTAGAATGATAGAATCCAATAATTCAATAACACTGTGCATGTGAAACATGGCTTTTATGGAAAATCTTGCTATTAAAAAAACCCACCTCTTCAGTATGTGAATTAGGTAACAGAAATTGAAATTGACATTTAAGAGCGAAGTAATGCATGTTGAAAAAATCTCTTATACAGTGGGACTTGTGAACTGATTTAGCTAAAAACACAAGCACTCTACTATAATAAGAGGAACTCTTAGACAAAATTAGGTAACTGTAGGTGACAAAGTATAAGAGATATGCCCAGACAAAGTGATGTATCAGGAATTTGGTATGAGTTATTTACCAGGTATTGTGGCATACCTACTGACACTTGACACAGTGCAAGGCTATAGTCCTTACTGTTAATACTTATATTCATATAGCGGACATCAGGGGAAAAGTATGTATTTCTGGAATAGCCTTCCACAGCTTACTTTTCCAGCCGTAACTGTCCTCAGTGTATCAATCAACTTGAGTTTCACATCCATGTTGCCAGCTGGAGTCTTTTCTACATAGGTATAGGCTTCCTGGATCATCTTTGTGACAGACTGAAACCAAAGCAATCATTACATTACTAAAATAGAAGTAAAGATAAAGTTGTACCACCCCTTCTGTTCTCACACAAAAAAAATCTGAAATAAGGCATAGCACCTGTATCTACTAAGTTTTATATATCAGTCAAGAAGGTTAGTAATATGTATACACAAAATATATATGAAAAAAATAAAAGGGACATAACTACCATAAACAAGTGACTCGAATAGGCCTTAATTAACATTTGTGTCAGATTCATGGACTTATTAAAAGGCAAAAGCTTAAGGATGAATAGACATTGCAAGAGGCACTTATACTATGTACTGCACTTTTCAATAAGTTTTACATCATTCTGGCCTTTTTAGCCAGGTTTTATATACATGCATGCATATTATCAAAATACTTTCAATAAAATAGATTTCGAGATGGGTCTTACCAATATATATATATACATATACAAAAAAATATGTCTGTGACTAAACACATTCTACACTGACTGGTATCTACTTACCTGTTTTATCTGTCCTCGTTTCTTTGTAAGTGAGACAATACTTTCATTCAGTGCATCCCAATTTTTGTTTTCAAAACAGAGGCGAACTACCGTCATCAGGACTCTACTTGTGGAATGAGTATCAGCTCCCTACAAAAAAATGAGAAAAACTAGTCTAGGTACAAGTTCCACTAACATGACTAAGCCTGCTGTATCTATATTAAAGTCAAATAATATGTCAAAAAGACTTTCATCCTCAAAATTCCAAGGGATGCTTTCTCATACATTATCTGCACATGGATTAGATGTCATTTTATTTTGTTATGCTCACCGAAAATATATTTTGGGAGCATATAATTGTTGCTTTGTCTAGCCATGTTTCTGTGTCTAATTGTGTTTTAAACAAAAGGTTTTCAAAATAAGAACTCCTTAACAATTAACCTTAGATATATGTAAACTGGGTGAAAGGTGCCCCAAGGGTAGAGGAATACCTGGTATCTGAAGGCAGACTGTAAATATTTGGTTCATTAAGTAAATGGTCAATGTTAAAGTGGTTATGAATGGAGTCCATTTTTGAGATATGGTGATTACAGGTTTCAACTCAAAAGGTCTTTTGTGTCGAAAACATGTAAAAACATGGCTGGAATAGATCCATCTATGCAAGATTTTGTTGTGATGTCCACGCTCCTTTGGAATTATAGTTCTACATATATAGTGTGTAGTATATAAAATAAAGTTATTTTAGAATTGATATTCTGGGAAGTTATCAAAGGGAAGGGGTCTTTATATCATTAGGCCACAATTTGACCTTAAAACTCACTGTCAACAAATTTCTATATCTTGTCTTTGCTCAATTGATTCTGACCCTATGGCATGTATTTTATGTTATTATTTTATCAAATAGGAGTCATTGTAAGTTCAAACTTCACCATGGCATTTTTCTCCCACTGAAAAATCAGAATGATTGAATTGATAAGCATAGTAAAGGTAGCTGTGTAAAGTTAGGAAATAAAATGAGCTTAACGTCTTACTGTTCTTGTTTGTTTTTCTAATGACATCAGTATATCCAGTGCTTCTGTCAATTTCCCTTGCTGAAATAAGAAAGAAGGGGAACAATAAAATAATATCAGCGGTACCTTTTCCATTTTTCTCTTGAAACATATACAGGTTTAATGATAAATCTGACAGCCACTAATATAAACATCTATTTTATCAATGTGATGGCGCCACTGGGACTTAGTACAGTAATCAGTTTTCATTTAATCAAGCTTTAACCGGCATCCCCCCCCTCCCTTCCAAACTGTGACATAGCAGATTTTGAACTCATTTGGCAGAAGTATAAGATTAACAGAGAAGTGTTATCAACCAGAACAATTTTGAATGAAACTATCAAACTTACTTTAGCCAATTTTTCACATTTTGGAAGCTTTTCATCTACAGTAGAACTGTAGTCAACTTCCATTTTCTGAGGAGCCGTTTCTGTGTTCGCCATGGTTGCTTCTTTTCGTCTGTGTGGGTGCATTCGTATTGAAAAACAATTTTGCTTACAATTACATAGCACTCAAACGATATGGATCATAAATAAGTCAGTTTTATTATGATATTCTGATTGATATAAAATAAACGGAGAGTAAAACACATTTTCTTATTCTATTTTTCAATCAAAGAAATGAAAATATTTACATGATAAACGTTTTCCGGAAGGTGTTGTTCCGATGTTTACTTTTAGTTTAGTTTGAATTATATTCTATTCGGTGGTAGGTAAATCTTGTACGCCGCTCCCGCTCCCGTCCCAAAATCCCGTACCAGGCATGTAGAGATATTTTAATATCTCATTAACGCGATCGTTTATATTTTTTATAAAATTATACAATGATTTCAAACATTTCACGGTTTTTCATATATATACATATATAATTAGATATTGAGTGAAAAGTAACATGTTATTTTCAGATATGTAGAACAAAATGCCTTACTGTTTATAATTATGTAAGTTTGGTTGCATATAAACGCCATATTTCACATGGAATTCTGACTTTGTTGTGATCGCGGATGTTTTGTTTACTCCCGTACCCGTGCTAAGGGGACATCACTCTGTCAATATATGTCGTTATCAAGTATTCATGAACATCATTATGATTGGTTATCATAAGAATTTATTTTTATTTTTTGATGACATGGTTTCTTGTGATGCTGGCTGTGACAGATGGTTTTATAATAGATGTGTAAGTGATCTCTCAGATCACGGAATCTAATTCCGTGGTCAGATTTACATTTGTCTAGTGATAGTTTTATTTGGAAGTGTGGTAAGTGTTCATAAAACAGCCATAAAAGTCAGAAGTATTTTTGGTATTTTTTGATGTATTTGTATTTGTATCATTGTCACGCTGGTAAAATAATAGCCGCTTCCTACCGTCTCGCCTGGGGAGAATTATATTTTTAGCTCATTCGGTATAACGTAAGACTAGTAAGCCAGAGGTCCCGGGTTCGACTCCTAGCGGAGGCATTGAAAAAATGATGACCTCTGTTACATCATATTAAAAGTCAAAAAATGTGTAGTGAGTAAACTTAAAATTCATTTTGAGAAAAAACACACTATTATTTCAATCATAAAACCATTTTTAAAGTTATTATAAAAATAACCATTTTTTCTAATGATAACCAATCATGTATAATATATATAAATATATATTACTTATATATACATGAATACTTGATAACGACATATATTGACAGAGTGATGTCCCTTTAGCACGGGTACGGGAGTAAACAAAACACCCGCGATCCTCGCCCGTGATCACAACAAAGTCAGAATTCCATGTGAAATATGGCGTTTATTGCAGTAATGTATTTTGTTCTATAAATCATGTTAATTTTCACTCAATATCTAATTATATATGAAAAACCGTGATTTTCACGGTTGACTGCGGCGTAAAAGTTTTACCTCCTTAAAATACCCATTATCGTCGATTTCTAAATTATTAGATGATAAATAGACATTTTTGTAACTGTCGCATTTAGAAAATAACGTTTGAAATTATTGTATAATTTTATAAAAAATATAAACGATCGCGTTAATGAGATATTAAAACATCTCTATATGCCTGGTACGAGGTTTTGGGACGGGAGCGGGAGCGGCGTACAAGATTTACCTATCACCATATTATTCGGAACACTGTGTTATTAGAAAAGTCGAGAGATATTCCGAGCTCATATTCTGGGAGGTTGAAGGATGACCGAGTACAAGTGAAGGGGTGATGTGGACATAGAAAATTTAGGCAGCTGTTTGACTCAAGAAATCGGCCCAGACAATGTTATAGACAGGGATTTCAAGTATCTGCGACAATGTATTTGAAGGAATATCGTGTGTGCATGCCTTTAAGTGTGAAGGAGGTAAGTTGGCATTACATGAATATTGATATGTTGACAGTGTCCGTTATAGCAGAGATAGATAATTATCAGGACAGGTAGACAGGTAACCGGATCTCGTATCAACGTGTGCTTTATGAGATCCGGGGTGTGACAAGGTGTGGTCATATGCACTGGAACGGCATGCCCCTGTTGGCTTTAATATAAACTTACGCAACAAATGCAGCAGAATATTCTGATAATGATATTTATTCTGTTAATGATTTACTATTGTCATAATATGCATACTTCGGTAGAAATCATGTAACTAAACGAGGGAAGGTAGATAAATCGTCAGTCATTGTTTTGATGAGAACTATAAATGAAGATTCTTTTGTATGAATGCATTAATCTTTCACTATGCAAATCTAGCTCTAATATACAATGTATGTCCAGTACAGTGAGCTATATAGGTGTAAAGACCTATAATAGCTGTATTGACCTGTCACTCTCAGAATAGGTCTTTTGAGCTATTTTCATTTGATTTTCTTTTTTAAGGTTAACGAAACAAAGTTGCTATTAAAAGAAGATTTTATCATTAGGTTGAAAACAAAAGACATTAAATTAAAGTATTCTTTTTAAAAAATAATTATGTTAAAAAAAACCCAGAAATTTTACATAAATTTATGAAAAATGAAAAATAAACATCTAACTGTATGTTTTATGTAGTCAACATTACCATAAAACTTATTGTTTAATGCGACTTTGCTTTAATTTAATGAAAATTGAAATCTGAGAAAATATATTACAATACAGCTATAATGTATAGGTGAATAGGACCTGTGTATATTGTACATTGTTGAGTGTATGACTATAGTCGTTTAAGGGAGTTTACAGAATCAAACATATATACATGTTACATAATTATTCTTTATGATTAACTATTGATATTTCGAAAATCTGATAAAATTAAAAAAAAAATGCATCTTGCATTAATTAAGGTTCAAGTTATGTTACACTTTAGTGATTTTGGAAGGATATTTTTCATTCCAGTCTTTAGATAATTTTCAAAATGTTCACAATTACTTTAATTACTAATTAGGAGATTTAATGAGTTCTGTAAATGTAAGTGATCGAATCCCACACGATAAAGTTGAGCCCAGGACTTACATATCCGTGTCCCAAAAATGACTTTCCTTTCTAGATTTTTTAGTGTATTCATGATAAGGTTTAATTCAAAGATATCCTATATATAGGCATGGAAAAGGGATAATTAACATCCTATTCTGTGGCCTTGGTTTTTAATAATCCATAACATCAGTGTGTTACCCTACATCTACAAATAAATGTATTTTGTATAAAAATAAAGAATTAACTTTCTATATAAAAAATAAAATATTTTTTGCATGCATAAATTATAGAGTTTTCTATTTCTAATGTCATAACCATATTATTAAATTTGGCTTTGAAAGCAGTTCTCACAAAAATACTCGTGCAAGGTAATGCCTTCAATTAATATTGCTAAAATGTGACACAAACATCTTTTGTTTAAATATATTAATATATTTAACAAAAGTTAACATAGGTTGGAACATTTTTTTTTTTTAAATCAGATATCAGATATTGACATTTGATATTCCTACAAAATATACATAGTTGATCATAAGTAAGAAAGATAAATAACCAAAGTTACTGCAAGATATGGAAAAAAAATAAGTTGAATACTGCAAGTTTCAGTAAGTACGGTCAAACTTCCATCAATCAATGCAAACTTAGAATATTTTGATTTCTCTATTATTAGCTCACCTGGCACGAAGTGCCAAGTGAGCTTATGCCATGGCGCGGCGTCCGTCGTCTGTCCGTCCTCGTTCGTCCTCGTCCGTCAACTTTTCCTTTAAACAACTTCTTCTGAAGAACGGACAGGCCTAGAGTCATGATATTTGGCTGAAAGCTTCGTTGGTAGGAGCCCTACAAAGTTTGAGAACAAAAATGACCTTGACCTGTTTTCAAGGTCACAGGGGTCAAATATGTCAAAAACTTCAAACGACTTCTTCTAAAGAACTAAAAGNCAAACTGTAGTTGTGTACTTCCTATTTATTATTTCATTTGTTTCATCTCCATGATTCCTTATTTCCCCCATATATGGCGACTATTCATATTATAGAACAGACAGTACAGAGAAATATATTGAATTCCTATAGTCAGAATAAAATATGTGTATGTGTATTGAATGGTGGATTAGCAAATACAAAAAGCAGGTCACTGTGACCTGTTGTTTTACCTTGACCTCAGCCTCTGAAAAAGTTTGCTCTAGACTAACCAGATCTGGTATGCAAGTATATTTTGGCACGAGGAGAACAGGAAGTATTTCACTGTGACCTATATATACTAAAATAGGTTTACAGCTCGGTATATAAAGAAGTCATTACTGGTGGGGGACTATGGATTGCTTTGCAATACTTTGCGCTAAGTTAGCTTTTGGCTTACAGTTCTAGTTAGATCACCTGGCATGAAGTCAGCCAAAGGAGCTTATGCCAGGGTGCGGCATCCATCGTCTGTCCGTCTGGCATCAACTTTTTTTTCTTTAAGCGACTTTTTCTCAATAATAATATGCACTGAGTGATGAGATTTTTGCCATAAGCATACTGGGATATTGGGTTATCAACATTGTTCAAATGAATGACCTTCTTCAAGGTCACATGGGTCACATATGTTGAAATCTTTAAATGACTTCTTCTCGAGGCGATATTTGGCAAGGAGCATGCTGGGATGAAGGGTTTGTTCAGAAGAATGAACTTGTCTCATATTCAGGGTCACAGGGGTCAATTATGTTAAAAAAAAAAAAATGACTTCTGAATTACCAAAATGCAATGGGTGGTGGTAATGTGACCAGTAGTTCATGTGAATGGCCTTGACACACTTTCAAGGTCACATCTAGTCAATTGTGTACAAACATTTAAAAGTCATCTTCTAAATAAACAAAATGTCTAGGGTGATGATATTTGGCAAGTTGCGTTCTTGAATGAAGGGCTATAAAATTGTTTGACTTAATGTCCTTGTTTGGCTTTCAAGGTCACAGGGGTCAAATCAAATGTGTCAAAAATCTTTTAACAGGTTCTTTTGAATGACTTTGAGTCAAGACACTGATATTTTGCCTGTAGCTTTACTTTTGTCCATTTTTAAGGTTACAAGTGTGAGATTAGTTATAGTTGAGTGATGCAGGCACACTCTGTACATGTACCAAGTAACACCAATAAAATTGGATGCTGACTGCTATGATAATTATATATAATCCATCCAGAGAAAGTGAATAACAAGCCTCAGAATATTTTTAACCTTAGTCATGGTTAGAATGCTAAATTGTTTCTTTCATTTTATGCAGTATATACAGTTCAAGTTAAACATAATTTTCGCATTGTGACCATCACAGTGTTTTCTACTTCATATATTGGTAATTTTTTGTAAAGTTTGATTTTGGGGGAAAACTATTTATGCAAAATCACATTTTTTGGAAAAGGTGTTTTTTTGGTGGGATTCTGGTATTTTCTTAATTGAAATTTGATTTTGTATCTACTTAAACCCTATGCAAAACAACATGTGTGATACTGTGTAGAACTTTGCTAATTTTCAAAATGGATTTTATGTTGCAAAGTTTCATGTTTACACATTAATTGGTGAATATAAGTACCGTGCAAATATTTTGCACTTTTTAAATGTATAGAAGCATCATCAAAAGAACTCAAGTGAAGCCAGCCTATACAGTTTTAGCGGCTTCTCAAATTATAGCTACAAATAAGTTCTGGGTTTTTGTACCAAAGAAAATTGGCAATGATGCAGTAACACAGTTTCAAATCCTTTTACTGTTTCACCAAAGAGACAAATTTTATGACTCATATGACTAAGAATATTTTATAGATTTTAAAAGACTTCTTTAGTTCTTCAATTTTGTTGACAAGTGATATTGAGATGTACATGTAGTTATAATGTGTTCAGGACCGGGTTCACAAAGCTTAGCTGAGTCATGTCAAGTAATTTTACAAATTACCTTTTACAGGTAAACTTAGATATATTATTCTTGACAATAAAAATAGCCGTCAGGCAGTTTTATAACCTCTCAATGAACTGTTGATGACATTTTTGTAGTTGATGGACGTTTCAGATGAACAAGAATGATAGAAATTCTGTTTGACTATCTTCAATTGAGTGTTCAAATGTATAATTTGATACAGGTGTGCAAACAGTTTCATCTAAGAGAACTAGCCAGCAGGTTGATTTTGAAAAGTACTGCTAGCCCAAACAATATTTTTATATTTTCGTAGTCCAACATAACATGTTAGTGTTGGACTTTAATTTACACCCCTGTAAATAGATTTATAATCAAATCTCTTCATCCTATCACACATGGACACAATGTTACATGTACCAGGTACAAGCTGTTACATGTACCAGGTACAAGCTGTTACATGTACCAGGTACAAGCAAAACAGTTTGTTTTATATGAATTAAAGGAAATTTGAATCTCAATCAATTAAATGAACATATTGTATTACTACACTTTATCACATTGACAGGACTATCTACTTAATTTAAGTTCAAAAGTTTAATTAAATTAACCTATTATAATACTACTCTTTATTCCATTCATAGGATCATCAAATACATTTAAGTTCAGTTGCAGATTTAGTCAATCAATTTTATTAAGTTATAATACTGTACATGTACTTAAATGTATATTTATCACATTGATATGATTTTATCAACTTAATAAGATTTATAGTTTTCATGTAATGAAACATATATACCAATATGATCCATTATACCGATCAATCGGATTGGTCACTGCTCTGTCTGTAACAGTTACAGAAAGCTAATTACAAATTCAACAGTTACAGAAAGCTAATTACAAATTCAATGCTTGTTCAAATTGAGTTGAAGCAAGAATAGGATACTGAATGTGTGCACCACACTGCACTTATATAATCCAATACCGATCCAGTAGTAGAGCCAACGCCGCTACTGTAGTTCTGGTTCGGTTGGTTCCGTATATCCCTTGTCAGGACGGTCCTGAAGAAGCCCACCGTTCGGGCGAAACAGGTAGACGTATCCTAATAGAGAAAATTCAACTGATCCCGAGCTTGTTGCGATTGACACCTGTTCTATATAATCCAATGATACAAATAAGCTAATATAGAAAAACAAGTTTTATAAACAAATGGTATTAACTACAGCAGCACACAGGTGATTTATATTTTTTTCATCAAGCTTAAAAAACACTTCTAATATTGCTATTGACAGACTTTCACATGTATCTTGTGATCATGGCACCAGAGCTTACATCTCGAAAGATGTTTCTTTATGCAAAACTTTCATTTTGTAGTAATACAAAAATGTGATACAAGGAAAATGTAATGGTTTCTTGTTGAATACATGATATCTTCACTTGTTTGGCAGATTTCACTTATGCCTTACACTAAAGTATTCAGGCATATTCATGTAATGTTTATGGTATTCAGTCACTCTCATAAAATATTGTTAGTGTTCAGCCATACTTATGAAGCATGGTATTCAGCCAACCTCATGAAATATTGATAGTGTTCAGCCATACTTATGAAGCATAGCATTCAACCTCTCTCATGAAATATTGATAGTGTTCAGCCATACTTATGAAGCCTGGCATTCAGCCACTCTCATGAAAAATTGATAGTGTTCAGCCATACTTATGAAGCATAGCATTCAACCTCTCTCATGAAATATTGATAGTGTTCAGCCATACTTATGAAGCATGGCATTCAGACACTCTCATGAAATATTGATAGTGTTCAGCCATACTTATGAAACATGGCATTCAGCCACTCTTATGAAATATTGATAGTGTTCAGCCATACTTATGAAGCATGGCATTCAGCCAACCTCATGAAATGTTGATAGCATGTTCATCGATTGTCTTGAATTATTTAATGGTATTCAGCCAAACTCTTGAAAAAAATCAATGATTTTCAGCCGCTTTCATGAAAAATGTATGGTATGCAATGGACATACATCTAATCCCGTTGGTGAACTTACCTAAATGTGTATACATTAATTTAATCAACCCTTAATTTGTTTGCCTGCAGTACCAGATTGGCCAGCTGTACATGATAGCCAAGCACAGCCATGAACAAAGTGAGAATGGTGAGGGAGTAGAGGTGGTCACCAATGAACCCTGTGAACACGAAAAACATGGAAAAGGACAATTTACAGAAAAAAGAATCCATTTGTCTAAGTAAGTAATTGTACAAACATTGTAATATCTATATCAGATGGATAGTTCAATATATAATCTGGCACAATGTCAATATTTATAGAACGTCAATCTTCACATGTCGTGTTTAACTCGACTGAAGTTAGATATTTAATTTGAGATCAGGAATCTTGTACTGTTGTACATGTAGTAATCTTTTATCTACGTTTATAAGTAGATTATACTGTGATCTGTTTGATGTGTTCTTAACGATTGTTATAAATCAATAAAGACTACCCAGTTATGTTAAATTTGGTTTTATATTTTGTTCGCAATATCAGAATTTCCTGGGAGAGTCCATATAGGAAGTGTTAATCCACTAAAAACTAAATTGAAATAGGAATAATTTGTAATTCTTTACTGATCATAAACTAATACAGTTCATGGATACAACATGTACATTAAACTTAATTACAACAAATGTTTCCAGGGCCCTTCCATAAATACAATGTTCAAATGTCTAACAAATAATTTGCTTGTAACATGTTTGTGTGAAGGACAAATATTCCTAAATTGCACATGAACAATTCCTTCAAATTTTAAGATGATATAATATAACTAATTTAAATACAGAGGGATTTATTCGATAATAGGGCTTAATTCATCTTCAATGTCATTAAGACGCACAGAGCAAGTTCACAGCTGACCTAGAATATTTCTGTGTAATTTAACATTTTGACGACGAAACAAAAAAATCTCTCAATCTTGCTTGAAATTATCCAACAAACGTTGTTTACAATATATTTAAAATTGTTTATTTAAAACCAACATCTTACACTGGTTGTTAAACAGAGGCTTGCCAAGGCCATATACAGAAGACCCCCTTGTCTAGAAGGGTCTGATTTACCCTCTCTATTAGGAATGGGTGACTTAGGGGTGTCATATTATCTACAGATGTGATAAACACTTCTTAACACTGATATCAGTTGATAAATGGTTTTATCACATAATGTACTGTGTTATCCAGTGAATATACCCATGTCATATTCCTTTGCTTATTGACCCATGTAATATGACCTATCAGCCCTGCGATTGGTTGTAAGTTTTAATTGTTTCAATTGTGACGTCATGTCTAGGACAAGGACATGATGTCAGAGACTTACGCACTGAAGTCAAAATGGCAGCATTTTTTTATTTCAAGGTTGCATGAAAATTGTCATTTTACACGATTAAATGCCACACATCTTGATTATGTGATAAAAAGGATCTAACACTCGTTTTCATTTCAGATGAAGTCATGAAATTGATCTTCACAAGTTTTTCATTTTAGCTGACCAGAGGCTCGCTGAATTGAAAAATTCTTGGACTCGTTTCATAAATCTTATATGAAATGGAAACTCATGTAAAATCCTATATATCTTCAACGCATAAGTTAATGGGATTGATATTATCAAAAATCGCCCTAATAATCTCTTCAGCAATTTTACTTTTATTTCCATGCGTTAGAAATAAACTTTCAAGTCTGCAACCTTCATATGAAATTTGAAATATAGAATTTCAAGTACCTACTTCTTTTGAAAAAGAAATTACAAATTTGAAATGTCAAAATTAAACATAGAAATGCCAATTACTATAAGGACCAAAGGGAATCTATATAGTTATATATAGCAATAGCAAACATTAACTGACAAAATCCATGATGTCTGCCTGTCGGCCATATTGTTCTTCTGATCAATCTCAATATAAAACATATAAACCTAAGGATCAACAGAACCTACTTATAAAATTGAGAAAGGTCTGTCAAGTTCCTTTTTTGAAACAGATATATGTGAAAGAGTATGTTTGTTCGTGTTTATGTCTTATTGAATAAATTTATATTTTATCTGCAAATAACTCATTGTCGTCTTCAAATCTCCTCAAATCCTAGAACCCTGACAACAGCGAGAGCTGACCAGAGGTGTCGCTCTCCTGTTACAGAGATAACAAATTTGAACTGTCAAAGTCCAAGATGGCTGCCTGGCAGTTTTGTTATTGTGATCAATCTCAACATGAAACATGCCCATATAAGGACCAAGGGGAATCTATATAGGAAATTTAATAAATGAAAGTAAAGTCTTTCTTGAGAAATAGCAATGACAAGAATTATTTAAGGACAGACAATGTACCAACAGTGATTTGAACACAGATTGCATAACCTGATGATGATGTTTGATGGACTAGAAATAAAGATGATAAAGGTAACTTTGTACCAATATAACAGGTTGTATAATGACTGTGGTGCCGACCAGCAGCCAGTGACATAGGGTAGGCCCCTTTTGCACCATTACGGATTCTACCAGTTTGGTTGTTTTTAAATGTAACATTTTGGGTTACAAATCCTGGCGGACATGTAAATGTTTATGCAGGCCTTGCAAGGCTTGTCAAGGCTTACCTGAAAGCTGCATCAGATTACTAGGTCTGACCTTATTTCATAAATGACCATCTCCGGTTCAACCGATTGGATCCATGGTACACAAATGCGGCCTTGTAACTGTATATGTACAGGCCAATCGGCTCATATTACAACCCAAATGTAAGCTGTTTATTTCAATGAGATAAACCAAAGTCAGTTATAAAATTTCTTTATGAAATAATTTAACTGCAATCTTCTTAGTATCGCCTCGCATGGTTATTTGAATAAAGTAACTTGCAGGTTTTGACAGCTGAAAAGTACTCTCTATAGTAGTAACATAGTATGCTAATATATATCACATTTTGCTTAAATAGTGGTTTTCTTTGACAATCGAGAAGTGAGTTTCAGCAGAATACACTGTGTTATAGATGTCATTCTTCAAATGGTTATGTCCTTTCACACATCGGAAATGTATCATGTTTAAATTGCTTGAATATCTATAATTCTTGCATAAAAGTGTAGTTTGACATATTAAACATCTTGAAAGATTGATACCCGGTAATTGTATTTTTGGCTTTATAAATGTATGTGAAGTTAGCTTGGGTTTCAATAAGACTGCAAAACCGATATATCAGTTTTGATACCTTCATTTTACTTTACAGCTAGGTCTGAACATTATATGCATGTACATGTAACATTAAAAGCTGTCATGTCCTATATTAATCCCATTAGACAACATGTACACTGGCCATTACTCCAGTCCTCCTTGGTGAAAGCATGTGTCCAGATCAGATAATGTATATATATATATACAGCATGTGTAGCTTGTCCATTCGACTCATGTATCATTTAAATCTAATATGTTACATCACATTTTTGTGAGAGAAATTTCAGAGCTTCCTGCACAATAATTATAAGGAAGTTAAACATTTAACAAGACAAAAACCAGAGATTATAATTTCACATGTTCTGAATAATTTGAATGCATAGTGAATGGTTCCCTGTCCACGTTAATTACCAGTGTTCATTCTGTGTGTAGAAGCTGTCAATGTCTCGAAATAGTTTCTGTTGGATTATATGTCTGTAATAGGTATGGAAGGGAATAAGAGTATGAGAGGAAATGCAGAGGACAAGTTAAGTTGTAGAGGGAACTTATGAAGGAGGAAGGTGTACGTAGGTGTAGAGAGGGGAGCTTTGAGGCAAGTTGTAATGGAGGATGGGCATAGGTAGGTGTAGAGAGGGGAGGATTGAGGCAAGTAGTAAAGGAGGGAGGTGTAGGTAGGTGTAGAGAGTGGAGGTTTGAGGGAAGTAGTAAAGGAGGGAGGTGTAGGTAGGTGTAGAGAGGGGAGGATTGAGGCAAGTAGTAAAGGAGGGACGTGTAGGTAGGTGTAGAGAGTGGAGGTTTGAGGGAAGTAGTAAAGGAGGGAGGTGTAGGTAGGTGTAGAGAGGGGAGGATTGAGGCAAGTAGTAAAGGAGGGACGTGTAGGTAGGTGTAGAGAGTGGAGGTTTGAGGGAAGTAGTAAAGGAGGGAGGTGTAGGTAGGTGTAGAGAGGGGAGGTTTGAGGGAAGTAGTAAAGGAGGGACGTGTAGGTAGGTGTAGAGAG